AATATTGTGTGCGAACAGAGAGTAATAGCTCATTGACAATACGATTTTGTTCAATAAGACGCAGACGATCTTCGGGCAATCTAGTCCTACGCCATCTCCTTTCCAGTCGGCGACGAACTCTTTTCTCCAGTTTAATCTCCTCGCTAAACCATGGAGCAGCGGGACGAATGGTAACCATGCGCGATTTTAATGGCGCATGCTCATCCAAAACACTAGATAACTCCGAATTATACAAGTGAAGCAGCGTAAGTAAATCATTGGATGATTCAGACAAAAGAGGAGACATTACAACATCTTGTCGAAAATGCTCCAAGCTGATGGCTTTTAATTTCCGACCACAAATACGCTTCCTTTCCCAATTAGGCTTAGGCCTTTGTTGAAGGCCCTGCTGAAAACCGCTGGGTTCCCTTATTAAATGTCATTATTGATATTACTATTATTTAAGTGAATTCACTTTTCACGAGCAGAAGAAAGAAAAAAAAAAACCCAAGTCCGGCCAGGACTTGGCCAAGAAGATAGTTTGTTATGTGAAGCCACCTCCAGTTTATCTATATCAACATCATTAACTTCCCCAGACCCATTCCTGGTGAACATGAAGAATTTAGTACCAACATCAGTCGGGCTTGGTGGTAAGAATGGTCTAACTTTGATGTGCCCCCACATAACTCCAGGATGTTGATAGAAGCAGCCGTATTTTCCAGAGCAGACCTTCAAGGGCCATAAGGGCCATAAGAAACCTGCAGAAATACAAAGAACGATTTCACTTATTCAGCACATCAGCATCATAATAATAATTTGTTAGTAATAAACAACCAATTACATAGCGCTATTAACATACGCTGATCAAAAGCGCTTTACACTAAAAATAATAATAATAATCCTATTGATGTAAATAATAATAATGATAACAATTATAGTCATAATCATCACCACAATATTAGTAATAACTCTTAAACCGTGTCGTTCAAGTGTATCCAGTATTAGCTCTTTTGCTTAAATTTTATCATGTCACTAAAAAAAGATTGCACCAGCCCATAAATTGACTTAAAGAGGGGGGAAACCTGATCCTCTCCCACGTACAGTCAGGTAAGACCTCGAAGGAGAAAGGTTGCTGAATTGTAAAATTTTGATGCTACAGTTTTTACCATTCCTTGGTGTCCAACGTGTGCTAGGTCTACAGCTCTGCCTCTCAGTACTTTTGGGACTACAATCCTGTTTCCTCTCAGTACAATTCCTTGGTAGGCCGACAGTTCGTCCTTCACATTTCTGTACTCCTGTACTTCGGGATGTGTCCAATTGTCAGTCTCGATGGCCTTGATAAGTGCTTGGAGCGAAACGTCCTTCTCCGACTCTAACTTGATTTCTTGCAGCGTCATTGCTTTTGGCACTGCCTGGTTGCATACATAGTTCACGTAGTCTTCTGCAATGCTGCTCTCCTTGCTTTCTATGTTACTTGGATGGCGGCTCATAAAATCGGCTGGATTCTCTGCGTCCTTGCCAGGTCGATAGGTGAGTTGGCAGTTGTAAGGCATGAGCCTCAGCTTCCATCTGTCGATGCGCGCTGACGTTGGCTTGTGACTGTTAAAGATACCTAGGAGTGGTTTGTGGTCTGTGGCAATGGTGAACTCTGATCCATACAAATAAAGATGGAAATGTTCGACTGCCCAGACTACTCCTAGCATCTCCCTCTCCGTTTGAGAGTATCTGCTCTCGACGTCACTGAGTGCTCGGCTAGCGTAACTGATAACTTTACCATCCTGTACCAACAATCCTCCAAGTCCGACAGGGCTCGCGTCGACTATCACTTCACTCTTGAGTCTTGGATTGAAGTACGACATCACGTGATTCTTGATCATGCTGTCTTTCAGCTTGTCGAATGCACGTTGCTGTTCGTCGGCCCACTGCCATGACTTGTCCTTCTTGGTTAACAGTCGTAGGGGAGCAGTTATCGTAGCGTAGTTTGGAATGTAACGAGACACATATTGAGCCATTCCCAGCAGAGACTTCACCTCGCCGATGCTTTCTGGCTTGTTCATGTCTGTGATCGCTTTGATCTTGGCAGGGTCTGCCTTGACTCCATTCTTGCTGAAAATCTGTCCGTAGAACTTAATCTCACTCCTTGAAAAGGAACATTTCTCCTTGTTCAGGCGTACGCCATGTTGTTTCAGCCGTTCCAGTACACCACGGAGGTTCTCATCGTGTTTCTTCTGAGTTTTTCCATAAACGATAATGTCGTCGGACATATTCTTGCATCCAGGGAGGCCTATGAGTATTTCTTCGATTGCGTTCTGAAAGATCTCGGATGCTGCGTTAATTCCAAACATGAGGCGCTTGTATCTTCGGAGTCCGACGTGTGTGCTGAATGTGGTAATGTAGCGGCTCTCTGGGGCCAGCTCCAGTTGGTGGTATCCAGACGAAAGGTCTAACTTGCTGAAGACTGTCGCTCCGTTGAGGTCAGCAACCAGATCGTCTATGGTCGGCATCAGGTGTTTTTCTCGTTTAACAGCCTTGTTGGCCTCTCGCATGTCCACACATATTCTCACTTCACCAGAGCTCTTGGGGACTATGACAATAGGGCTCACCCAGGGTGTTGGGCCCGTTACAGTCTCGATGATGTCTAGCTCTTCTAATCGCTTTAACTCCATTTCGACATCCTTTCTGACATGGAAGGGTATCCGACGGTGTGGTTGTTGTTTGGGTGCAACGTTAGTGTCTATGTGAAGCTTGATGACTTTCCCTCGCACTTTGCCGATTCCACCGAACAGGCTCTCCAAATCTCCGTTAGTGGGGGACTGGGGACTGGTCTCGTCAGGTTTGACTTGATTGATGATCTTGAGCACACCAAGTTTCGTAGCAGTGTTAAAACCCAGGAGGTTTCCTGAAGCACCTTTGATGACGTGCAAGGTTGTCCATGTGCTGCTGGCGTTGACGAATATTTCGGCTTCGATGGTTCCCAGAACAGGTAGGGGTGTGGATGATCCGTAGGAGAAAATTCTGCGCTTGGAGGCTTCTGGTACCGTCCGTTGGTATAACTCCCTGAAGGTGCGTTCGTCTATGAGATCGACCGATGCACCGGAGTCGACCATCATTTCGATTTGCTTTCCATCGATCCTGACGTGGCAAGTTGGTTGCTTGTCACCGCCTATAGTGTATACGTATTCGTCATTTTCGGCCTTGTCTTCATGTGAGACGTGTTTTGCTGACTCAGGTGGATTTGTTCTACAAACATGAGCAAAATGGTTTAGTTTGCCACAGGAGGTGCACTTCTTGTTCCTCGCGGGGCAGGAGTCTTTGTGAGGGTATGGTCCGCCACAGTTCCTACATTTAATATTCTCTTTTCGGGAGTTGCTGTGATTGCGTGACTCGTAGCGAGTGCGTGACTCCTGGCGAGGTTGTTGATGGCGCTGTTTCCCTTTGAGATATGTCGAGATTCCTCTCTTCTTAAACTTTACCGCGTTTACGGTTTGTTCGTGATTTTCTAACTCCTTTGCTTGTATTTCGCTTAATTCTAAGGCTATACCAGCTTTCATGAGGCCGGCTAAGTCGAGGTCTTCTCGCAGAGCTTTGCGCCGCAGGGAATTCGATTTACAGTTCAAGATAATCTGTTCTTTGATTTCTTTGTCTGGATTTGTGAAATCGCAGGTCTTCGCTAGGCTTCTCAAGCGTGTGTGAAAACAGTCAAGGTTTTCTCCGTCTTTTTGCTTGGCTTGCCGGAAATTGTACACTTCGTACGTTACGTTGACTTGCGGAGAGAAGTGAGCAGTTAGTTTCTCGACGGCCTTTTTGTAATCTTTGTCTCCACCGACGTCTTGAAGCGTGTCGAAGATCTCGTCGACTTCTGGACCGCCGTAATGCAGCAAAAGGGCTCTCTTCTGCGTATCATCGGAGATTCCCATTCCAATAGTTAGTCTCTCGAATCTTCCTAACCATTTCTTCCATCTTGGGCCTGCATTTCCATCGAGGTGAACTTCAAACGGTGGAAAGTTTGGTAGAGAAATGGCCATGATGTTTACGCGGGAAAATGCTTCGGAGATCGCTTTGGATTTTTTTGTGAAAATCACTTCGGAAATCCCGTTAAATCCTTTTGGTTTTGTTGTGTGTGTGTTCTATGAATAATCCTCGTCGCCAGATGTGGTGTTTACGGCTGAATAACCACTGAGACGTTCGGTAGAAACACAACGATATTTTAATCAACCTGTAAGACGAAACCCGACTACAGAATAACTTCTCTTCATAAGGACCGCGTGTGCATTCCGAACATTATGATTGGCAGCTGTCAGAAACACTACAGATTCCACCATCAGAGAAAGGCATAAAAGTGCGCCCTGTTTTGCCACCTTACGCCACGTGACGATTCCCGCGTGACAATGTTTACACTACTGTAAATATGTGAATATCATATATGTGAACTACAGTTTTAAGCTATGAATATGAATGCGATCTTCACAGTAATGATTACTTCTTGAACAGTAATGGAAATAAGGGCCTAACAAAAATTCAGGCCTGTACGGGATTTAAATCCATAACCTCTGCGATACGGGTGCAGTACTCTACCAACTGAACTAACAAGCCAACTGGGAGCTGGCTACTATATTGGTCTCATACATAGATACATAGATTTACAGAGATATTTATATATGTACATAGATTTAGGTTAAGTTCGATGCTAAAGTTCAAGTTAAGGGTACAAAGCGTAAACATCTGCGCATGTCTCACCGGCATTATTCAATTCGGTATAATTAGCCAAGTCTTGCCCATACCATATTAGGAACTGCTGTCCAATCGACACAACCAGAGGGTGGGGAGCAGGTTAAACACAAGCGTCGGGGAGTTGACATGAGCACCGTCAAGTTGGTACCTATAGTCATCAACGCCTTTCACGAACTCAGCAAGCGGAAGAACAGTCTTGTTGGGGTAAGTTATCACCGTCAGTAGTATACGACGTCCCAAATCTGGGTGTAAACATCCCCACTTTGTTGATTCGAAGTCAGTATTACATGCTACGGTGCCATTTGTATGGACAAGTTTGAATGTGTAGATTTTACCGGCCTCTTAGATTTCAAAGGATCCGAAGTCGTCATTTTTTGTCCCGAAGCAGACAGGATCGGTGTTGATCTTTTTCCAGTTATCTGTTAAGGACATTAGTAGGTTTTAAAAATGATATTAGCAAGTCAAGTCAAGGGAGAGTTTGATCGAAATAAAGAGCTTGTCGATAGAAGTTAGAAATTGACGGTTGCAATTGTCCAGACAAGATTAGTCAGATTAGTATTTTGATAAGTATCGCCGCGCGTTAATGGTGTCGAAATTACAATTTTCTTGACCAGAAGGACGCCTCATTGAATATCTGTGACAGATATGAGCGTTAGCTTGCATTGCACAATTGCAAGCCACACTTAAATAGTTAACAACACTTTGGTGATTGATAAATCAAATCTTTCAGCTTTCTTCTGTTAATATGGTGTAAAGAGGTGGAAAAAGTGTAGCGTTGGTTATCTAAATAAGATTTCGTGTTCAGTAAGAAATCAAGATACACCTAAGCAAAAGTATCGTCCATCTTTAAGGCGTCCAGACTGACAGCTGCAGTCGAACGATCCAGCGGTGTTTTTACAGTTGGCCGCATCACGACAGTCATGGTTACCATCGTTACATTAATCGATATCTAAACATAGTAAAATCAAATGGTAAAAATTGAAGGACTAAACGAACTTTAGGCAAAGTACACCTCGCGTGAAATTTCTCATAAATAGGGGAATGAAATCCAATAGAGCTAGAGGCCAGTAAGTGTAGCAAACTCCATCCGTGGAAATTCTGCTCATGCCATATTTGAAGACTTTGTAATCAACAAACTTTGTTAGGCATGGAATGTGCAGTGAAGTGATAATAGTAGAAAAGAAGAAAAAAAGCTAACAAGTTGGTAGCCACGTTCGGCTTTTTTTTTTCGGCTTTGTTTTTTGGCCTCTGCCTTTGGCCTAGATAGATATTCTTAACAAGGCCTAATGAGCTGTAGATGATATCTATCTTAGTGGCCTATATGCCTACAGAGCAAGCGTAACCACCACTATGGGCTAAGTGCGCATCTGTGGCTTGAACATGCCACTCAGTTACCTCTCGTATCCCCATATATCTACCACTTTCTGTCGTTACTCTCTGTCTGTCTGTCTCTTAATCTGTCTGTCTGAATAAGATATAAATGGTAGCTAACCTAATTTTATCAACTTTCTCTTATTCGATATGCAAGACTTACTGACTACATGTTTTTTGTTTTTGCTGGTCTTTATATATGTGTCCACTGTTTTTCTTTTTGTCTTTGTTGTCTTCTTCATTGTATGCAAATCTTACCTTGACAGGTCTCTCCATCGTCAATATATCTAGGTCTACAATGTGAGCACTGATATGAACCCAAAGTATTGACACATTTGCGCTCTGCGGGACAATGGTGTTTTCCTGGTACGCATTCATCAACATCTACACAGAATTTAAGAAAAAAAACCAAAGCTAAAAACTCTCAAGGATGAGACATTTCGTCCAACTTTATGAAAGTGGCCCTACGTATCTGTGTAATTTTCTTTCTGCTCCTCTTCCTGCCTGTCCTTTTCACATCTTTTAAGGCAGGATTCTTTAGCTTGTTCTCCTGTCTTTTCCCCGTAATGTTGCACGAATTATTTTTTGGAAATTATAGCTGCTTAACTTTATTGTAAAATCAATTAAATATTGAACTGTCTGAACTCATCATTTTATCGTTAGATGTTTTTTCCCTCACCTGTTTTACACTGAACTCCCTGATATCCAGCAGGACAAATACAGCGGTATCCATGGTTACCAAAGCCCGCTTGACAGGTGGCGTGATGGGTGCATGGAATGCTCTCACAAGGATTCTGAAAGATAAGAAAAAAATAGATCACTTTATACAATAAATCAATTAAAACATGATGAATAGATAAATAAATAACATAAAAAGGAACAACACTGTACCCGAGTTTTTTTACCCGTAAACTGATCACCTTTGTAAAACTGAATGTTACCAGGCCGTACTTATAAAAATTTCTGTGTACACAAATCCGCTTTTGTCTTCGAGGGAGTCGGGGACTTGTAAGTAGGTCCTGTCATTCAGCTCACATGTGAATGTTCCATCTGACAGTGGACCATAGTTGTAGGACACGCAGTTTGGTTCAAGATAGCATCTCAATTCACAAATATCCTTGTCTGGAAGTTGATCTCTCCCAATGACGTGATTTGTTAAGATCTTATTTTTTGTTCCTTCTTTGAATTCAATCACTCGACAATCATCTGAGGGAGGAAGAAGGAATAAAGAAACCAATGAGAAATATAATCAGCTATGTCAAAAAAGCATAAACAGGTGGCAAACCTTTCCATATTACGGGTAGTAATTCAGTCAAGTTGTCTTCATCGCGAAAGCCTTTTGTACGGCATTTACATTTCCAAAAAGTTAATTTCTTTCGACCTTTTTTCTTTTACGAGAGATGGTCAAAACTAATACTCTTTTACTCACAATACGTGAGGGTTGATGTCAAACAATTATATTGTGAATAGAGTAAACAATATATTCAGGGGACAATCACTCTTAGAAAGGCTACAAAGGTAAATGCCGCCGAAATACAATGATCTTGGATGGCTTGTGGTACTCAAGGGAACCAACAATGGTTAATATCTTCTGTTTTTCACAATTTCGTTTTTGTGGAAGTTAACTCTGAAAGGTGATTTAGTTCGCACAGGACATAGCAAATATGGAGGGCTGACAAAATCATATCCTGAAAACGTAAATAATTAAGAGCCATACCTCCCATGCTACTTAATCCGCACTGGTTATTTGCAGAAAAACAGTCCAGACATGTAAAAAGAGTGAAGAGTAGGTAATATTCCATTTTCTCCATTATTTTTCCTGTTTGAAAAGTTAAGAAATATTTAGGTAATTTTTAGTGAATCGAGGGAACGTAAGACGTATTTTGTACCACTCAGCGGTGTACTTTCGCATTAAATTAAACTTGTGAGAAAACATATCGAGCTATTTTCAACATCATCTCTTTTTTTAATGAATTGCAACTCTGCTTAACTTTAGTTCATTTGTTCCAATAACATTTGTATGTTATAAGTCTAAAAGAAATATACCTCTCTACATTTTTCTCATAATATTTCGGCCATAGTTGTTACATTCCATATCATACTTTCGCCTGTTCGATTGTTTTTTTCCTAAATACACTATGAACTAAACATTTCCATTTCAATTCACCCTCAATAAAACTGTCAAAAGGAACCATTCCTACCTTTCAAGCAGAAATTCAATTTCAAATCTTTGGAGCGTTTTTGATGCGGAACACTTGAAGAATTGTTTTTATAATGAAATATCGGTGGACGCACATCAGCTATAGTTAGATGATAAGCGAGTCAAACGAACACTCTCGGGAGGGAAGAAATCTCCTCAGCAAAAAAATTTACTTAAATTTAGGCTTAAGCCGCTGCTTGATGGCAAACTTTAAATAATGACACTCGGCCTTTTATATCAATATCATAATTGTGCATGAATAATACCAGAAGGTGGGTAACAAATTCAGAACAAGCCTTCTGTAAACTTGAAACTTAGCCAACGCAAATTACTTCGGTCTTCCACTGGGAGTTCAATTTCTCCTTATGAATAATGAAAATAATGGAAAAAAATTCTTACCTTTTAAGAGGAAATATATTTTATGTATTCTTGGGAAAAAGTACACCTTCGGAGAGGGATGTACAATTTCATTCTGTACTAACCTATTACAGCTACCAGTGTGGTGCAAACAGGAAGTTGGGAAAAAAAAAAAAAATACAAAGATGAAATTCAGTAATTTGGTCTTATTTAAGACTCAAACTCAAGTGATTGACACTATCATTGAAGTTTCTGTTTGGTACTAAACACTTCGAGACGCCCCTCCTTTAGAGACGAAATTCTAACTTAAAACATAAATTCAATTCATTTTGTAATTGATGTCTTCCTTATCTTTGCCTTCCTTGCTGCTTTAGGTCCCTTATAAGATTATTTTATGAGTTATGATTATTTTATGAGAAGGATGAAAACACTAAGAAAACTGAGATCGATGGATACCTGTTTAACCCTCAATCGAATTTTTTTCCTTTCTTTTAATAAGCTCTAAAACGTTTGCAAAAAATTTACAACAAAACGGCGAACTCATGAAAACAAAATTTTTTCAATAACAGACGTTTTCCTTATTAATGAGTATTGACACCATGTAAACAATACAATTTACCGAAATGAATAAATTAAGAAAGATGTTTTGGTAAAAAACGGACATAAGGTAGAAATTCACTTTCACTTTCCCCCGATATGAAAATTCGAACTTTTTGCCGTGGAATAGAATAAATAGAATAAATACGAACCGACGCTATTTATTTTATTCCGTGCAATGACTGTGGTCACGAGTATAACGGACAGACCAAACGTCAGTTTGGTACACGTTTGAAAAAACATCAAAAAGTGGTCTTCTTTTGCGAAAAAGAAAATTCAGCTTTGTCGAAGCACACATGCCTAAACAACCATACAATTGGGTGGGATAAGTTTACAATTATCATCACTAATCGACGTTACCACCAGCGCCTTTGTTTGGAAGCCTGGCATATCAACTCCGCCCACGCTCTTTTAAATCGTGATGATGGCGGCTTACTTCCTGACGCCTATTTACACCTCGTCATAGTGTAGAGGATTAACAACATATCGCCTGGTAAAATCATATACTACTGTTACCGACGTAACCTACTTAAAACTGACAAATTGGATTACAGGAAACGACCATTGAACATATTTAATTTTGCTTAAATTATCCGTTAATTATCCGAGTTGTCTTCCGCAGACGATTTAAAGCTACCTTTTCTATTTTTCCTTTTCAGTGTCGGTATTAAATCATCCATAAAGGCCGGAGCTGACCAAGACACGTCCACAGTCACTGCATGCCCAGCCCATTCTCTCAGGGACAATTGTCTTGGTTTGTGATGCATTCGTAAAGCTCTGTTCATGAATCAATTAAGTTAGAAATAAACAAATTAAATAGAAGGAACAAGACAAAGCATAAAAACGAAAACAAGAAAAGATTAAAAATTTTACGCAAATGAGGTAGTTTCTGCTTCATCCATGTGTTCCTTACGATCATATTCCTCTCTTTCCTTCAGCCTACTCCGGTTTCTGTCAATCACTCAACATGTCCTTCAGTCTTTCTCTGTCTGTTTCTTATTCTATCGTAACTGTTTTTCCAAGTAAATAAAAAATCTCACCTTGGCAAGTTATACCATCGCCGGTAAATTTAGGTTTACACATACACTGATATGAACCCACCATATTGGCGCATTCCCCGTTAGACGAACAACTGTGTTTTTGCAGAGCACATTCGTCAATATCTGCAAAAAGATCAATGCGAAAAAATAAAGATAACAAAATTTAATTGCTGTTGCGGTTAGTTGGTTTCTAAATCATTCATGCTTCAACCATTTTCTACCTTTGAGCAAGGTGTGTCGCTTGAGTAGGACATTTTGTGCTGATTCCCTATTCTTTACAATCAGTCGGTACCCTTGTTATTGCATGCCTGTTAGCTTTTCTAGTTAAAAACATGCCTTGGCATGTTTTACCAACACCTGTAAATCCAGGTTTACATGTGCATCCGTGTGAACCCATAACATTAAGAAAGTTGCCATCACAGGAATAATCGTCTTTGGCTAAGGCGCATTCGTCAAAATCTATTCAAGATCCACGAAAACGAAAGAAGTATGAAATTCCGTATAATCTAATTAATCCTTTCTCTTCCGAAAGCCCGTCTCCCTCTGCATTCAAATCACCCGGTCAGGTCCTCCAGAATTATATCTAAATGATCTCAGCACGAAACTTACAACATTATTCGTTTAGTTTCTGTTCTTGCCCTAATATCAGTTATCCAGAATTTATACTATCCCAAAAATATTTCATTTGTACTGTCTCAAAACATCCATTATTCATTTATTTTCTAGTAAATTATATCTAATTGATCTCAGCACGAAACTTACAACATTATTCGTTTAGTTTCTGTCCTTGCCCTAATATCAGTTATCCAGAATTTACAATATCACAAAAATATTTCATTTGTACTATCTCAAAGCATCCATTATTCATTTATTTTCTCATCTTGCTCAATGATCCATTTTTCAGGATTTGCCGCGTCACGACAATGTTCCATTGATATCATTCCTCATCAAGATAACATCAAGAGAGTATCAATTGAACATAAACAGTTGATATTCTCTTGCTCCTCATATCATCTTGGATGAGATCATTCATTTAATAAGATTACATTTAACTTTATTTGCTCCAACTTAGGGGATTTTAATTCCTTTGACAACTTTTAACGTTCCTCGTGAGATCAGATGTGGAACAAATCTCACTGTACTTGCTCCTTGCCATGTTATCGGAGGGTCGAATTTCACTGATGTAAAGGCTTACCTTGGCAGTTTTACTGCGGTCAAGGCATTTGAGGAAAAAGTCTGAAACGTTATTATATTTGACCTTGTCTACTTAGTATTATGTTCACCAAGTTACAGCTTTTCAGCTTGCGTTGTTTTGCAATTACAGCCACTTTTTTGGAACCATGTCTTGTTGCGAAGCCGCGTTGCAAAAGTGCCACATTTGGTAACATTGAGCTAGGAATTGCGACAAAGGGAGAAATGACCTTGCACAGCGCCTGATTTCAAATCCTTTTGTACATAAACTCTCTTTGCATATATCTTGTTCTGCTAGTAATTCCAAGCTAGCAGCTTATAACCCATTCCTGCAGTTAGAGGTAAAACCTGCTCATCCTCCATACACATGCTTTTGGTGTTTCGACTGATTTTGTTGTCAAGGGGAAGTTTTAAACACCATATTTTGTACTTGATAATATTAGAATTCTACTGACTTTATAGCATAATAAATTACCCAGTCATCCAATTTCCATGAGCTGGTATAAAACTCCGGGAAATCGGCCGCTTATTTTTAGCGCCAAATATGCATATAAAGAAAGATGAGCGGGGGAAGTAAGGGGTTCAAACTTCAGTTAAGTTTGCTTGTTATAATAAAACAGGCAGTTATTCGGTTTTTAGCGAATGTTAAATAGTTAATGACCTCTAGGCATCTCTACTGCAGAAAAGCTCCGTTCCGTGATAAAATTCCTCACTTAAGAGAAAAATGCACGAATTAGTCAGCACACTCGCATGAATGTGCCGTAGTTAAAATGTTTGAGGTAATCTCACTGAATTTTTATTCCTTTGAAGACTGACAATAATACAACTTGTGTCAGAGAGGCAAGGGCGGCAAGGAATTTTTCATCGAGCATAGAAAATTGCACAACGTCGTCAGAATTAAAAGAAGTCAGATGTTTTCAGCTTACCTATAGGTCTATTTATTTTGGCTGTTGCTTTTGCTCGTTTTTTGTTTCTTTTTACCGACAAAGTAATGACGTCGAGCTTAAAAAAAGAAGTTCAATTTTCTAATAACCATTTTTTTTTGCGTGGATTTAAAACCTCAAATAATTCATTGAAGGCACCGTGGAATGTCTTGCACAACATCGCAAGAGCACGGTAATAATTCCCAAGTTGAATCAGTCGCTGTTGGATGATGGATTGATATCAGGGTTGAACACCATTTCCAGATTATCTGAGTATGCTAGCCCATAAATAATAATAAAAATGATGGCTGCCTCCAAGACAACTAATGCTGCAGCTACAGCCACACACTGAAGCAATTTTTTTACACCATGAGCAATTTTGAAACATTTTAAGTACTGCATTGTAAGGGTAAGCGTTCTGCACGAAGGGGACACGCGATAGACACTATACAACTTGAAGGGGCTTTGTCAAGGATTTTAACAAATTTTTAAACAGCCAAATTATGTATTGGTGTCGTAGGAAACCTGAAAATAACTGCCATTTTTATTAACAATTGCTATATCAGAGCACTGAAACAGCTTACAACCGTCTTTGGCTGCGAATGGCTTGGATGGAAATGAATTACAACGTGAAAAATTTAGGCTAAACTTTTCAAGTTGTTTCCTCGGGCCATCAAAAAATCAAAATTAATAGAAGGGGTCTTATTTCTTTCCGCAAATTTATTTATTTTTTATTATTTTTCTCTGGATGTTTTTCTGGGTTAAGTAGTCTACCAATAATTTCAGAGCAGTTTAGACCAACTATCCACAAAATTTCCGTGACGTAGCTCCTTTAATTATTCCCCTAATATTCCTCCCTTGCACCTCGACAGATTGAATCAAAAGCCAGAGAATCCGGCCATCTTAATGAACAAGCGAAAGGGCGGATCGAGAACACGAGAGGAGCCAAACTGAGAAATCGATCAGAAAGATGCCCAAAGAAGATTTACAGGGTGGCGGGGGTAGGATTTCAAGGCTAAGACGTTGAGGGGAAGAAAAGAGGGAGAAATCAAAAAAAAAAATAACAATTACATACAATCCGCGACTAAAAACTAATGCTCCCGTTGACATGTAATATGCTGCGTTGCAAAATTAAAGACGTCAATCAAACAGGCGCGGGAAATAAAGAATGACTAAAATGAAAGCAAATAAAATATACGAACGACTGAATGAGCTGCATGTTGAATTGAGACTGAGCCTGTCTGCCGAAGGCAGTGTTTTCAATAACGACTGAACGAAATAGCGTGAGTTAAATTGACGACTGATGACAATCAAACTAAAACGTTCCCCAACGTGAATCGTGAGGGCCTGAGGTAATTGGAACTAGGAAATTTGCTGGGCATTTTCTATCCGTAAGGGCGCAAGCAAATGCAATCGTGACAACGTCTCCCAATAACAAAAAGAGACAGAGAATTTCTGGATTAATGGTCGTTTCTGGGAAACTGCCCACCTACCCCTCCCCAAACCTAACATTTTGCCCAAAGAAAGAATTAAGTTTTAATGTTAGGTTAGGGGAGGGGTAGGTGGACAGTTTCCCAGAAACGACCATTGATCCGAATTTCTTCTATCTAAAAGCCTGATTATTGTATTTGTATTATTTCTTTCCATGTCATTCATGACTATTTAACAATAAGACGGCAAACCCGTGGTTTTTATTTGCTGATAGTTGACAAGGGAAGAAGGTCCAAGTCAACTATCAAAGTTAATAGAGCGCTGATAAATGACACTGGCGCGCGCGTTATAAAAACGATAATGAGTTGTGAAATTGCCATACAAATGATGCCAATTCTTGGTATTCAAACCTCTCTCCTGCACCTTGTGTTTTACTCTATATTTGAGCATTTTGTGATATTCCTACTGTGTATTATAAAGTGTGTAAACCATGAAAAGAGGTTGCAGATTTGACAACACTATGAAGGTTAGGTTCTGAAAATAATAACAAAAATAATAACATGTAACCCTGACTTTCCCAAAGTGGCACATGAAAGTTGCCAAAGTGCCATAAAGGTGCCAAAGTGCCACAATGGTACAAAAGTGCCATGCAAGGTTAACAAAGTGCCACGTGAAGTTAGAAAAGTGCCATAAGGTACGTTAGAATTGTGCCACTAGTTACAAAAGTGTCACTTGAGGGGTGCAAAAGTGCCACTTAACGTTGCGAAAGTGCCACATCAACGTAACAAAAGTGCCGTTTCGTCTAGCTCTCTCTCTCTCTCTCTCTCTCTCTCTCTCTCTCTCTCTCTCTCTCAGGCCTGTTTCAGTGTTCGTCAATCTCGCTACATGTCCATCAGGACCAGTTTTTTAAAGGACAGATAAAGGGCATTGCTATACAACGGATAAATCGTTATCCAGACGATAAGTAATAACGAAACCTACTGCGCTGCACGTCGGATAGCAATTTATCCAGTAGATAGTGTTATCATCCCTTTAAAAAAACCAGGCTGAACGTCTCTGTCTGTGTCTCCCTCTATCGTTACTGTTTGTCTAATTGAATAAGAATCATAAGGGGCTAAAAGGCAAGCCATAGCCATGTGAAAAGCTCGTCTCCAATACACAACTATTTTTTTTTAATTGGCCATCTCGAATCTATGGATTAAAAAATGGTAAAGTACTTCCAAATATTCGATTTTTTTAAATTCACTTTTGGCAATTCTACCATTCAAATAGCGCGTATACCATTCAAAATGAAAATTACTCAGAATTACTAGAACTGAACAAAATGCGAGCTCGAAAGAGACCGACAAACATGTGGAATTTATTCAATCCGTCTTCTGTTATCATTCCCAAATAACAGCCGTGACTGAAATTAATTGGAACCTGGTTACATATCACATGATATGATAAATTTATCACATGATGATAAATTTAAGAAGGTCTGTTAATTTTTAAAATGTTAAATGAATTTTTCTCGGCCCCTTCTTTTACTTGAAACCACACTGATTAAATGTATTTGACACTTCTCTTCCAAGCTAATGCTAAAATCTAACTACTTTGGTATGAGAACGTTATATCTGGTATTGTTCAGGTCTCAACTTTCTAAATAATAATTATAGCAACCGCTGTAGAAAAGGTTTCTGAAATACTGCAGATGGAACTTCGCTCGGCGAAAAGCACCAAGGATCCTCCATCCGTCCTTTTCAATCTTCTTTGATATATGTTCTCTTATACAATTATACTTACAGAAAATTCATTCCTCTTGAGTTAACTCGTTATAACTCAGACTGACTGATAAACTCTGATTCTCTCTCTGATCGACTCTAATTTACTTTGATTAATCTGGTGGGCTGACTTCTAACTTAATAGTACGCGCTTTACATTCACTTTCGGTAGGCATGAGTAGGCATGCTGGCCAAATGATCTTCGAAGATTACGCTCTAGCCTTCAAAACAGCAACACACGCCTATTTTCACCCTCTCCCCCATGACATTTTAATAATCTTTCAGGCGTACTTTTTCTTCTCTCAATTTGACTCTAACTTGATCTTCTTAAATCAAATTAAAACTTTGATCTCCATAAATAAACTTTCGACCTTCCAAATCTCAGATTTAGTTCAATGCTGAATTTCAGTTTAAAGGGTACAAAGCATAAACGTCCGCACATGTCTCACCATCGTTATTATACTCGGTAGAACCAACCAGGTCATGCGCATACCAAATTTGGAACTGTTGGCCAACAGATATAACCAAGGGCATGGGGAGAAAATTAAACACAAGCGTGGGAGAGTTGACATCAGCACCATCAAGTTGGTAAGTATACAGTTTGTTTTCGACGTTACTTTTCACGAACTCAGCAAGTGGAAGAACAGTTTTGTTGCTGTATGTTATCACTGTCATCAGGTTATAATTTCCGTATTCTGGCCGTAAGCATCCCCATTTGGTCGGTGAGCGACGAGTGTCGCATGTAACGGAGCCACTTGTATGTACGAGTTTGAAAGTGTAGACTTGACCGGCTTCTCGGATATCAAAAGTTCCGTGGTCGTCATTTTTTGTCCCAAAACAGACAGGATCGATGTTGACCTTTTTCCAGTTATCTGTTAAAAAGTTTGCCAGGTTTCAAAGAAAGCCGCAGGTTTTCGTGTCTTGGAAATGGTAACGCAAAATAAATTGATTTATTTGAGGAAAGTAATTAAAGAATAACTGTGGTTATGTTCAAACCACACTATTCACTCACATTTGTTTGTGTTTTGGGTTAAAGATCAAGATATACCTGAGCAAAAGTGCCGTCCATCTCCAAGGTGTCCAGACCGACAGCTGCAGTCGAATGATCCAGCGGTGTTTGTACAATCGGCCGCAAAGTGACAGTCATGGCTTCCATCGCTACACTCATCGATATCTAAGTAGAAATGGAATATAAGACTAATCAAGGTGTAGGGAAATTATAAGAGGAGGTGGGGTTGTTTTTTTGGCGTTTCCCAGAATCTACTGAAAAGTGTAATGTGTTGAGGTCGCGGATTCACAGGTTTGCCAGAAGTTCGGCATCATTCTGTGTGCAATTTTGCTGACTATGATGTGGAGGCAGTCTTCTCAGATACATAAACATGTAAAGACTTACCATTTTTTAGCAGTAATTTTAAGAACAATTGACCCTGCGAATTGCATCAGTTATTTCTGTCTTACAAGACTGATGAAGAGAGTAATCGATAGCTTTGCACTTTTATATAAAATAAATGTTACCTTGGCAAATTTTACCATCGCCAGTAAATCCAGATTCGCAAAAGCACTGATATGAACCCACGACATTAACACAGTCGCCGTCAGAGGAACAATCGTGTTTGCTTGATGTACACTCATCAGTATCTACACACGAGTTACAAGAGACGGAGAAGTTAGACGTATGAGCCCATAACATTAACACAACTGCCATCAGAGGAACACTTCACCTTGCCTTAGACGCATTCGTCAATATCTATTCAAGATTAAAGGAAGATGAAAAAAACATATTCCTTATTTTGAAATAGATCTTTTTCATCTAAAGTTCATCTCGATCGTATTAATCAATTATTTCTGTCAGTTATTCCAAAATTCCACTGAACTATTTGCTTTCAGCACGAAACTTATACTTTTATTCGTTTCATTTCTGTTCTTGCCCTTGCATCAAATATCTACAATTGACAACATGAGGCAGTTTTCCCTTCATATCACTCATTCTTATTTCGATATTCTCTTTCTTTCTCGTTTTTCTGTAGGCTCCATTATCTAGGATTTATCACATCACGACAGTAATACTTTGTATCGCCCCTCGGTTAATGCTGCAGAAGAACATCTTATCACGACTTCTCCAGTTGTCACAACCTTGGAGTTTCAATCCTTCTGACAACTTCTAGCATTCAATTGAGAGAGCACATTTATTTGGCAAAGCTCTCCTTCATATCCATCAGAACAAATACAGCGGTAAGCATGACTACCAAACCCCGCTTGACATGTGGAGTTACTAACACACGGATTGCTCTTGTCTCTCCATCATCAATTTGCTCTTGTCTCTCCATCGTCAATTTATCCAGGTCGACAATGTGAGCACTGATATGAACCCAAATTATTGACACATTCGCGCTCAGCAGGAAAATCGTGTTTTCCTAATTGGCATTCATCAACATCTTCACAGAATTTAAGAAAAAAAACCAAAGCTAAAAACTCTCCACTATAAGACATTTCTTCCAACTCTATGAAAGTGGCCCTGTGTATCTCTGTACTTTTCTTTCTGTTTCTCCTCCTGCCTGTCCTTTTCACATCTTTTTAGTCAGGATTCTTACGCCTGTTCTCCTGTCTTTTCTCCATCTTAACATTGCACGCATAATCTTTTGGCAATTATAGCTGGTTAACTTTATTGTAAACTCAATTAAATATTGAACTGTCTGAACTCATCTTTTTATCGTTAGATGTTTTTTTCCTCACCTGTTTCACACTGAACTCCTCGATATCCAACAGGACAGATACAGCGGTATCCATGGTTACCAAACCCCGCTTGACATGTGGCGTGATTAGCACATGGAATGCTCTCACAAGGATTCTGAAAAGATAAGAAGAAAATAGATCAATTTCTACAATAAATCAATTTTAAAATGATGAATAGATAAATAAATAAAATCAAAGGGAACAACACTATATCCTAGTTTTTTTTATTCGTAAATTGATCACCTTTGTAAATTAAAACTGCATGTTACCAGGGCGTACTTACAAAAATTTCTGTGTATACAAATCCACTTTTGTCTTCAAGGGAGTCGGGGACTTGTAAGTGGGTCCTGTCATTCAGTTCACATGTGAATGTTCCATCTGACAGTGGACCATAGTTGTAGGACACGCAGTTTGGTTCAAGATAGCATCTCAATTCACAAATATCTTTGTCTGGCAGATGATCTCCCCTAATGACGTGATTTGTTAAGATCTTATTTTTTGTTCCTTCTTTGAATTCAATCACTCGACAATCATCTGAGGGAGGAAGAAGGAATAAGGAAACCAATGAGAAATATAATCAGCTATGTCAAAAAGGCATGAACAGGTGGCAAACCTTTCCATATTATGGGTAGTAATTCAGTCAAATTGTCTTCATCGCGAAAGCCTTTTGTACGGCATTTACATCTACAAAAAGGTGATTTCTTTCGACCTTTTTTCTTTTACGAGAGTGGTCAAAACTAATACTCTTTTACTCACAAAACGTGAGGGTTGATGTCAAACAATTATATTGTGAAGAGAGTAAATAATTTATTCCAGGGGAAAATCACTCTTAGAAAGGCTTCAGGTGTAATCGCAGCCGAAATATAATGATCTTGGATGGTGTGTGGTACTTAAAAGAGCTAACAGTGGTTACTATCTTCTGTTTTTTATAATTCTGTTTTCGTGGAAGTTAACTCTTTTTTTTCGCACAGTAGATAACAGATATGGAGGGCTGACTACATCATATCCTGAAAACGTGAATTCTTACAAGCCATACCTCCCATGCTACTTAATCCGCACTGGTTATTTGCAGAAAAACAGTCCAGACATGTAAAAAGAGCCAAGAGTAGGTAATATTTCATTTTCTTCAGCAATTTTCCTGTTTAAAAAGTTAAGAAATATTTAGGCAATTCAAGCGAATCTAGGAAACGTGAGACGTATTTTTAACAGGCAGTAGTGTGCTGTTTCAAAAAATTAAACTTGTGAGGGAGGAAATATATCAAGCTACTTTCAACATCGTCCTTCTTTTTGGTCAACTGCAACTTTGCCTAATTTTAGTTCAGTTGTCTCAATAATATTTGTGTGTCATCGGTCTGAAAGAAATATACCTCTCTACTTTTTTCTCATAATAATTCGGTCATAGTTGTTACATTCCATATGATACTTTCGCTTGTTCGATTGTTTTTTTGCCTAAATACGCTATGGACTGAACATCTCCATTTCAATTCACGCTCAATAAAACTGTTAACAAGAACTATTCCTACCTTTCAAGCAGAAATTCAATTTCAAATCTTTGGGGCGTTCTATGATGCCGAACACCTGAAAACCTGTTTTTATAAAGAAATATCGGTGGACGCACATCAGCTTTGGTTAATTGATGAACGAGTTAGACAAACACTTTTGGGAGGAAAAAATCTCCCTAGCAAAAAATGTGCTCATACTTAGGCTTGAAAATTTGAGCAGCTGCTTGATGGCAAACTTTAAATAACGACACTTAGCCTTTTATTACTTTTATTGTAATTGCGAATGAAAAATAACAACGGGTGGGTATCAAATTCAGCACAGGCTTTCTGTAAACTTGAAACTTGGCCGAAGCAAATTTCTTCAGTCTTCCGCTGGGAGTTCGATTTCCTCTTATGACTTATGCAAATAATGAAAAAAAGCGTTTCTCACCTTTTAGCCCTTTCACTCCTTGAAGCGATTACCATGTAACTTCTCCCTATAGTATAAACAGTAAACAGTTGAAGAAAACACTCAAACTCATCAGGTACGATTTATTACCTTGATTGAACACCTAACTCTCGTAATCAATTTACAAGGAAATGTGTAGTAGCTAGAGGGGAGAATTGACAATCAGATCTTGGGAGTTAAAGGGATAAGAAGAGATATATTTTCTTCCCTTGAGAAGAAGTACACCTTCGGAAAGGGATGTAACATTTCATTCTATACTAACCTACTACAGCTATCAGTGTTATGCAAATAGGAAGTTAGACACAAAGAAAACAAGGCAAAGATGAAATGCAGTAATTTGGTACTATCTAAGACTCAAACTCTTGTGAGTGACTCTATTATTTAAGTTTCTATTTGGTACTCAATGCTGCTTACTCACGTTTTGCTGAAGTTGAGGTGCGGCGCCGTAAGAGACGAAATTCTAACTTAAAGAATAAATTCAATTCATTTTGTAATCGAAGTCTTCCTTATCTTTACTGTCCTGACCGCTTAAGGTCCCTCATATGACTATTTCATGAGGTATGATTATTTTATGAGAATGATGAAAACATTGTCAGAGATCGGCAACGGAGGTCAATGGATAACCCCCGATCGTTTTTATTTTCTTTTCTCTAAATTAGCTCTAAACCGTTTGCAAAAATTAACAATAAGACGGCAAACTCACGAAAACAAAATTATTTCAAGAACAGACGTTTTCTTATGAACGGATATTGAAGTAGTCTAAGAGTTGGTGGTTCGAGCTCGTTTCATGAAAATGAGCTGAAAATGCCAACTCTGTACTACTTTCCATATGATGGAAATAATTTGATGGAATTATGTCATGAGAATAATTGGTTATGAAATTGAAAGATTTCCGAGAAACAAAAGACGGTTTTCATTCAAAGAAATGAGACTCACACTTATGGCCTCATGCGGTTGAGTGATTTGTTAAAAAAACAGGAAGTCAAAAAAGAGATTAAATTTTGCTCGCTTATCATCGCATGACATTCTCACAAAAACAGGAGGTCGATGATGTAATACATAGGGAACTTTCCCGTAGAAATAAGTTGCCAGTAATCGGATCCTTGCGTTTGCGCACAGATTTGTGTGATTGCCACGAGGCAAACATTGTAACTCGCTTGAAAGGAACGTGTGGCGAGAAGTTGTTTGGACGTCCAAAAAAAAGGGAATCTGGCGAAAGTTCAAGTTGGGCTTTTTCGCCACAATTCTATCATTTATTACACCCATTATGAAATCACTGGTGGTCCCTGTAATCTGATTGGTTCCAATTGATGCGATTTATTCGAATCGCACCATTCTTTGCTTTAAATCGTATCTTTTTCCCAGCCAATGAGGAGGCTACACTAAAAACAAAACAACCAATCAGATTTTAAGGCTCGTTTAATGTAACCGATCAAACTGGAGGAAATTGTAAGACAAAGAGTATAATGTGGCAAATTTTGCAACTTTTGTTTCCAAACTCTTACTTTTTCCCCTCCAAAAATGGATGAATTTAATTTCAGACCGGCTCAGTACTGCATCAATAAAATATTTGAACTGACCAAGTCCTGTATTTGGGCAATTTTAAAATGGAGGTAATAAAGTGGTAATTGAACATCGTCTCACGCAATTTTGGTCTGAAATCATACTTGTGATTTCAAATCGAACTCACGCTGCGTGCTCGTTCGATTTTAAAAATCACGCGTATGATTTCATCCCAAATTGCACTCCACTAAGTTCAGTTGCCATTATAAATGGATGAAGATAATGTTGATACGAGGGAAGTGTAAGTTTTCGTTGGAATTACCACCAACTATGTTCTGAAAAATACCGAAAAACTTCTCTCTTTGCGTAAGGTCTATTGTGAAATTGTCATCGAGTAATGGCTCGACATTGGCCAAAATTGCTAGAAAATAACTGATTTGGTCTTTTCAGTTGTATTTATATATGTACAACTTGTTTTCATACTTTCCAACGTATTCAATAAGTAAAAGCAAGATCGCGGGAACTCTGGCAGAAACTGTGGACATATCATCAGTTGTGCATCGCTCCTTAAGAGACCAATTTGTATCAACCACCGTACAGAACAAAGGGTTCAGTTTTGAGACCATTATCAACGCTGATTCGTTCTCATTGATTTCAAAAAGGAAGCAGTGTAGGTGTTTTATCACTTTATTGTTGCTGGAGTGAGCTCGTGTGAGATCTAGTAAGAACCTTTTTTGAAATATTTACAGAGAGCACGATCCCTTTTGAAATGTACGCTCGCCATCATTTTTCAGTGAGGGTCTACCGCCAAATCCTCCAGTATTTGTTTGTGACTCGAGCGCATTGTCCATTGTCCATGTTTCCCATACCTGTCGCCAAGTCGAGCTTCTCGACTTGGCGACAGGTATGGTATAAGAAAGGCAAGAAAAATGACAAGAAAGGCATAAGAGTGCGCCCTGTTTTGCCACCTTACGCCGCGTGACGATTCCCGCGTGACAGTGTTTACACTACTGTAAATATGTGAATATCATATATGTGAACTACAGTTTTAAGCTATGAATATGAATGCGATCTTCACAGTAATGATTACTTCTTGAGCAGTAATGGAAATAAGAGCCTAACAAAAATTCAGGCCTGTATGGGATTCAAATCCATAACCTCTGCGATACCGGTGCAGTACTCTAACAACTGAACTAACAAGCCAACTGGGAGCTGGCTACTATATTGGTCTCATACATAGATACATAGATTTACAGAGATATTTGCATATGTACATAGATTTAGGTTAAGTTCGATGCTAAAGTTCAGGTTAAGGGTACAAAGCGTAAACATCTGCGCATGTCTCACCAGCATTATTCAATTCGGTATAATTAGCCAAGTCTTGCCCATACCATATTAGGAACTGCTGTCCAATCGACACAACCAGAGGGGTGGGGAGCAGGTTAAACACGAGCGTCGGGGAGTTGACATGAGCACCGTCAAGTTGGTACCTATAGTCATCAATGCCTTTCACGAACTCAGCAAGCGGAAGAACAGTCTTGTTGGGGTAAGTTATCACCGTCAGTAGTATACGACGTCCCAAATCTGGGTGTAAACATCCCCACTTTGTTGATTCGTACGTAGTCAGTATTACATGTTACGGTGCCATTTGTATGGACAAGTTTGAATGTGTAGATTTTACCGGCCTCTTGGATTTCAAAGGATCCGAAGTCGTCATTTTTTGTCCCGAAGCAGACAGGATCGGTGTTGATCTTTTTCTAGTTATCTGTTAAGAACATTAGTAGGTTTTAAAAATGATATTTGCAATTCAAGTCGAGGAAGAGTTTGATCGAAATAAAGAGCTTGTCGATAGAAGTTAGAAATTGACAGTTGCAATTGTCCAGACAAGATTAGTCAGATTAGTATTTTGATAAGTATCGCCGCGCGTGAATGGTGTCGAAATTACAACTTTCTTGACCAGAAGGACGCCTCATTGAATATCTGTGACAGATATGAACGTTAGCTTGCATTGCACAATTGCAAGCCACACTTAAATAGTTAACAACACTTTGGTGATTGATAAATCAAATCTTTCAGCTTTCTTCTGTTGATATGGTGTAAAGAGGTGGAAAAAGTGTAGCGTAGGTTATCTAAATAAGATTTCGTGTTCAGTAAGAAATCAAGATACACCTAAGCAAAAGTATCGTCCATCTTTTAGGCGTCCAGACTGACAGCTGCAGTCGAACGATCCAGCGGTGTTTTTACAGTTGGCCGCATCACGACAGTCATGGTTACCATCGTTACATTAATCGATATCTAAACATAGTAAAATCAAATGGTAAAAATTGAAGGACTAAACGAACTTTAGGCAAAGTAAACCTCGCGTGAAATTTCTCATAAATGGGGGAAGGAATTCCAATAGAGCTAGAGGCCAGTAAGTGTAGCAAACTCCATCCGTGGAAATTCTGCTCATGCCACATTTGAAGACTTTGTAATCAACAAACTTTGTTGGGCATGGAATGTGCAGTGAAGTCATAATAGTAGAAAAGAAGAGAAAAAAAGCTAATAAGTTGGTAGCCACGTTCGGCTTTTTTCGGCTTTGTTTTTGGCCTCTGCCTTTGGCCTAGCTGGTTATTCTTAACAAGGCCTAATGAGCTGTAGATGATATCTATCTTGGTGGCCTATATGCTTACAGAGCAAGCGTAACCACCACTATGGGATAAGTGTGCATCTGTGGCTTGAACATGCCACTCAGTTACCTCTCGTATCCCCATATATCTACCACTTTCTGTCGTTAGTCTCTGTCTGTCTGTCTCTTAATCTGTCTGTCTGAATAAGATATAAATGGTAGCTAACCTAATTTTATCAACTTTCTCTTATTCGATATGCAAGACTTACTGACTTACATGTTTTTTGTTTTTGCTGGTCTTTATATATGTGTCCTCCGTTTTTCTTTTTGTCTTTGTTGTCTTCTTCATTGTATGCAAATCTTACCTTGACAGGTCTCTCCATCGTCAATATATCCAGGTCTACAATGTGAGCACTGATATGAACCCAAAGTATTGACACCTTTGCGCTCTGCGGGACAATGGTGTTTTCCTGGTACGCATTCATCAACATCTACACAGAATTTAAGAAAAAAAACCAAAGCTAAAAACTCTCCAGGATGAGACATTTCGTCCAACTTTATGAAAGTGGCCCTACGTATCTGTGTAATTTTCTTTCTGCTCCTCTTCCTGCCTGTCCTTTTCACATCTTTTAAGTCAGGATTCTATTGCTTGTTCTCCTGTCTTTTCCCCGTAATGTTGCACGAATTATTTTTTGGAAATTATAGCTGCTTAACTTTATTGTAAAGTCAATTAAATATTGAACTGTCTGAACTCATCATTTTATCGTTAGATGTTTTTTCCCTCACCTGTTTTACACTGAACTCCCTGATATCCAGCAGGACAAATACAGCGGTATCCATGGTTACCAAAGCCCGCTTGACAGGTGGCGTGATGGGTGCATGGAATGCTCTCACAAGGATTCTGAAAGATAAGAAAAAAATAGATCACTTTATACAATAAATCAATTAAAACATGATGAATAGATAAATAAATAACATAAAAAGGAACAACATTGTACCCGAGTTTTTTTACCCGTAAACTGATCACCTTTGTAAAACTGAATGTTACCAGGCCGTACTTATAAAAATTTCTGTGTACACAAATCCGCTTTTGTCTTCGAGGGAGTCGGGGACTTGTAAGTAGGTCCTGTCATTCAGCTCACATGTGAATGTTCCATCTGACAGTGGACCATAGTTGTAGGACACGCAGTTTGGTTCAAGATAGCATCTCAATTCACAAATATCCTTGTCTGGAAGTTGATCTCTCCTAATGACGTGATTTGTTAAGATCTTATTTTTTGTTCCTTCTTTGAATTCAATCACTCGACAATCATCTGAGGGAGGAAGAAGGAATAAAGAAACCAATGAGAAATATAATCAGCTATGTCAAAAAAGCATAAACAGGTGGCAAACCTTTCCATATTACGGGTAGTAATTCAGTCAAGTTGTCTTCATCGCGAAAGCCTTTTGTACGGCATTTACATTTCCAAAAAGTTAATTTCTTTCGACCTTTTTTCTTTTAGGAGAGATGGTCAAAACTAATATTCTTTTACTCACAATACGTGAGGGTTGATATCAAACAATTATATTGTGAAGAGAGTAAACAATATATTCCAGGGGACAATCACTCTTAGAAAGGCTACAAAGGTAAATGCCGCCGAAATACAATGATCTTGGATGGCTTGTGGTACTCAAGGGAACCAACAATGGTTACTATCTTCTGTTTTTCACAATTTCGTTTTTGTGGAAGTTAACTCTGAAAGGTGATTTAGTTCGCACAGGACATAGCAAATATGGAGGGCTGACAAAATCATATCCTGAAAACGTAAATAATTAAGAGCCATACCTCCCATGCTACTTAATCCGCACTGGTTATTTGCAGAAAAACATTCCAGACATGTAAAAAGAGTGAAGAGTAGGTAATATTCCATTTTCTCCATTATTTTTCCTGTTTGAAAAGTTAAGAAATATTTAGGCAATTTTTAGTGAATCGAGGGAACGTAAGACGTATTTTGTACCACGCAGTGGTGTATTTTCGCATTAAATTAAACTTGTGAGAAAACATATCGAGCTACTTTCAACATCATCTCTTTTTTTAATGAATTGCAACTCTGCTTAACTTTAGTTCAGTTGTTTCAATAACATTTGTATGTCATAAGTCTAAAAGAAATATACCTCTCTACATTTTTCTCATAATATTTCGGCCATAGTTGTTACATTCCATATCATACTTTCGCCTGTTCGATTGTTTTTTTTCCTAAATACACTATGGACTAAACATCTCCATTTCAATTCACCCTCAATAAAACTGTCAAAAGGAACTATTCCTACCTCTCAAGCAGAAATTCAATTTCAAATCTTTGGGGCGTTTTTGATGCGGAACACTTGAAGAATTGTTTTTATAATGAAATATCGGTGGACGCACATCAGCTATAGTTAGATGATAAGCGAGTTAAACGAACACTCTCGGGAGGGAAGAAATCTACTCAACAAAAAATTTACTTAAATTTAGGCTTAAGCCGCTGCTTGATGGCAAACTTTAAATAATGACACTCGGCCTTTTATATCAATATCATAATTGTGCATGAATAATACCAGAAGGTGGGTAACAAATTCAGAACAAGCCTTCTGTAAACTTGAAACTTAGCCAACGCAAATTACTTCGGTCTTCCACTGGGAGTTCGATCTCTCCTTATGAATAATGAAAATAATGGAAAAAAAATTCTCACTTTTTAAGAGGAAATATATTTTATATATTCTTGGGAAAAAGTACACCTTCGGAGAGGGATGTACAATTTCATTCTGTACTAACCTATTACAGCTACCAGTGTGGTGCAAACAGGAAGTTGGGAAAAAAAAACAAAATGCAAAGATGAAATTCAGTAATTTGGTCTTATTTAAGACTCAAACTCAAGTGATTGACACTATCATTGAAGTTTCTGTTTGGTACTAAACACTTCGAGACGCCCCTCCTTTAGAGACGAAATTCTAACTTAAAACATAAATTCAATTCATTTTGTAATTGATGTCTTCCTTATCTTTGCCTTCCTTGCTGCTTTAGGTCCCTTATAAGATTATTTTATGAGTTATGATTATTTTATGAGAAGGATGAAAACACTAAGCAAACTGAGATCGATGGATACCTGTTTAACCCTCAATCGAATTTTTTTCCTTTCTTTTAATAAGCTCTAAAACGTTTGCAAAAAATTTACAACAAAACGGCGAACTCATGAAAACAAAATTTTTTCAATAACAGACGTTTTCCTTGTTAATGAGTATTGACACCATGTAAACAATACAATTCACCGAAATGAATAAATTAAGAAAGATGTTTTGGTAAAAAACGGACATAAGGTAGAAATTCACTTTCACTTTCCCCCGATATGGAAATTCGAACTTTTTGCCGTGGAATAGAATAAATAGAATAAATACGAACCGACGCTATTTATTTTATTCCGTACAATGACTGTGGTCACGAGTATATCGGACAGACCAAACGTCAGTTTGGTACACGTTTGAAAGAGCATCAAAAAGTGGTCTTCTTTTGCGAAAAAGAAAATTCAGCTTTGTCGAAGCACACACGCCTAAACAACCATACAATTGGGTGGGATAAGTCTACAATTATCATCACTAATCGACGTTACCACCAGCGCCTTTGTTTGGAAGCCTGGCATATCAACTCCGCCCACGCTCTTTTAAATCGTGATGATGGCGGCTTACTTCCTGACGCCTATTTACACCTCGTCATAGTGTAGAGGATTAACAACATATCGCCTGGTAAAATCATATACTACTGTTACCGACGTAACCTACTTAAAACTGACAAATTGGATTACAGGAAACGACCATTGAACATATTTAATTTTGCTTAAATTATCCGTTAATTATCCGAGTTGTCTTCCGCAGACGATTTAAAGCTACCTTTTCTATTTTTCCTTTTCAGTGTCGGTATTAAATCATCCATAAAGGCCGGAGCTGACCAAGACACGTCCACAGTCACTGCATGCCCAGCCCATTCTCTCAGGGACAATTGTCTTGGTTTGTGATGCATTCGTAAAGCTCTGTTCATGAATCAATTAAGTTAGAAATAAACAAATTAAATAGAAGGAACAAGACAAAGCATAAAAAACGAAAACAAGAAAAGATTAAAAATTTTACGCAAATGAGGTAGTTTCTGCTTCATCCATGTGTTCCTTACGATCATATTCCTCTCTTTCCTTCAGCCTACTCCGGTTTCTGTCAATCACTCAACATGTCCTTCAGTCTTTCTCTGTCTGTTTCTTATTCTATCGTAACTGTTTTTCCAAGTAAATAAAAATCTCACCTTGGCAAGTTATACCATCGCCGGTAAATTTAGGTTTACACATACACTGATATGAACCCACCATATTGGCGCATTCCCCGTTAGACGAACAACTGTGTTTTTGCAGAGCACATTCGTCAATATCTGCAAAAAGATCAATGCGAAAAAATAAAGATAACAAAATTTAATTGCTGTTGCGGTTAGTAGGTTTCTAAATCATTCATGCTTCAACCATTTTTCTACCTTTGAGCAAGGTGTGTCGCTTGAGTAGGACATTTTGTGCTGATTCCCTTTTCTTTACAATCAGTCTGTACCCTTGTTATTGCATGCCTGTTGGCTTTTCTAGTTAAAAACATGCCTTGGCATGTTTTACCAACACCTGTAAATCCAGGTTTAAAGTTGCCATCACAGGAATAATCGTCTTTGGCTAAGGCGCATTCGTCAAAATCTATTCAAGATCCACGAAAACGAAAGAAGTATGAAATTCCGTATAATCTAATTAATCCTTTCTCTTCCGAAAGCCCGTCTCCCTCTGTATTCAAATCTCCCGGTCAGGTCCTCCAGAATTATATCTAATTGATCTCAGCACGAAACTTACAACATTATTCGTTTAGTTTCTGTTCTTGCCCTAATATCAGTTATCCAGAATTTACAATATCACAAAAATATTTCATTAATTTTGTACTGTCTCAAAGCATCCATTATTCATTTATTTTCTCATCTCGCTCAATGATCCATTTTTCAGGGTTTGCTGCGTCACGACAATGTTCCATTGATATCATTCCTCATCAAAGAGAACATCAAGAGAGTATCAATTGAATATCAACAGTTGATATTCTCTTGCTCCTCATATCATCTTGGATGAGATCATTCATTTAATAAGATTACATTTAACTTTATTTGCTCCAACTTAGGGATTTTAATTCCTTTGACAACTTTTAACGTTCCTCGTGAGATCAGATGTGGAACAATTCTCACTGTACTTGCTCCTTGCCATGTTATCGGAGGGTCGAATTTCACTGATGTAAAGGCTTACCTTGGCAGTTTTTCCCATCTTTAGTAAATCCATGCCTACATGTGCACTGATATGACCCCACAACGTTAGTGCAGTCGCCGTAAAAGGAACAATCGTCATTATTTATGATACATTCGTAAAGATCTATCCATACAACGAAGCACAGGATATATAAAAGTTAATAAAATATAAAAAGAATAAAAAATGTAATACATTGGAGGTGGTATCTGCTGTATCCGTGATAGTCCGCCACCTTTTCGTCTACTCAGTTCTTTCTCACGAAGCTCCTTTTGTTTTCTCTCTCTCTCTCTCTCTCTCTCTCTCTCTCTCTCTCTCTCTCTCTCTCTCTCTCTCAGGCCTGTTTCAGTGTTCGTCAATCTCGCTACATGTCCATCAGGACCAGTTTTTTAAAGGACAGATAAAGGGCATTGCTATACAACGGATAAATCGTTATCCAGACGATAAGTAATAACGAAACCTACTGCGCTGCACGTCGGATAGCAGTTTATCCAGTAGATAGTGTTATCATCCCTTTAAAAAAACCAGGCTGAACGTCTCTGTCTGTGTCTCCCTCTATCGTTACTGTTTGTCTAATTGAATAAGAATCATAAGGGGCTACAAGGCAAGCCATAGCCATGTGAACAGCTCGTCTCCAATACACAACTATTTTTTTTTTTTTAATTGGCCATCTCGAATCTATGGATTGAAAAATGGTAAAGTACTTCCAAATATTCGATTTTTTAAATTCACTTTTGGCAATTCTACCATTCAAATAGCGCGTATACCATTCAAAATGAAAATTACTCAGAATTACTAGAACTGAACAAAATGCGAGCTCGAAAGAGACCGACAAACATGTGGAATTTATTCAATCCGTCTTCTGTTATCATTCCCAAATAACAGCCGTGACTGAAATTAATTGGAACTTGGTTACATATCACATGATATGATAAATTTATCACATGATGATAAATTTAAGAAGGTCTGTTAATTTTAAAATGTTAAATGAATTTTTCTCGGCCCCTTCTTTTACTTGAAACCACACTGATTAAATGTATTTGACACTTCTCTTCCAAGCTAATGCTAAAATCTAACTACTTTGATATGAGAACGTTATATCTGGTATTGTTCAGGTCTCAACTTTCTAAATAATAATTATAGCAACCGCTGTAGAAAAGGTTTCTGAAATACTGCAGATGGAACTTCGCTCGGCGAAAGGCACCAAGGATCCTCCATCCGTCCTTTTCAATCTTCTTTGATATATGTTCTCTTATACAATTATATTTACAGAAAATTCATCCCTCTTGAGTTAACTCGTTATAACTCAGACTGACTGATAAACTCTGATTGTCTCTCTGATCGACTCTAATTTACTTTGAGTTAATCTGGTGGGCTGACTTCTAACTTAATAGTACGCGCTTTACATTCACTTTCGGTAGGCATGAGTAGGCATGCTGGCCAAATGATCTTCGAAGATTACGCTCTAGCCTTCAAAACAGCAACACACGCCTATTTTCACCCTCTCCCCCATGACATTTTAATAATCTTTCAGGCGTACTTTTTCTTCTCTCAATTTGACTCTAACTTGATCTTGTTAAATCAAATTAAAACTTTGATCTCCATAAATAAACTTTCGACCTTCCAAATCTCAGATTTAGTTCAATGCTGAATTTCAGTTTAAAGGGTACAAAGCATAAACGTCCGCACATGTCTCACCATCGTTATTATACTCGGTAGAACCAACCAGGTCATGCGCATACCAAATTTGGAACTGTTGGCCAACAGATACAACCAAGGGCATGGGGAGAAAATTAAACACAAGCATGGGAGAGTTGACATCAGCACCATCAAGTTGGTAAGTATACAGTTTGTTTTCGGTGTTACTTTTCACGAACTCAGCAAGTGGAAGAACAGTTTTGTTGCTGTATGTTATCACTGTCATCAGGTTATAATTTCCGTATTCTGGCCGTAAGCATCCCCATTTGGTCGGTGAGCGATTAGTGTCGCATGTAACGGAGCCACTTGTATGTACGAGTTTGAAAGTGTAGACTTGACCGGCTTCTCGGATATCAAAAGTTCCGTGGTCGTCATTTTTTGTCCCAAAACAGACAGGATCGATGTTGACCTTTTCCCAGTTATCTGTTAAAAAGTTTGCCAGGTTTCAAATAAAGCCTCAGGTTTTCGTGTCTTGAAATGGTAACGCAAATAAATTGATTTATTTGAGGAAAGTAATTAAAGAATAACTGTGGTTATGTTCAAACCACACTATTCACTCACATTTGTTTGTGTTTTGGGTTAAAGATCAAGATATACCTGAGCAAAAGTGCCGTCCATCTCCAAGGTGTCCAGACCGACAGCTGCAGTCGAATGATCCAGCGGTGTTTGTACAATCGGCCGCAAAGTAACAGTCATGGCTTCCATCGTTACACTCATCGATATCTAAGTAGAAATGGAATATGAGACTAATCAAGATGTGGGAAATTATCAGAAGAGGTGGGGTTGTTTTTTGGCGTTTCCCAGAATCTACTGAAAAGTGTAATGTGTTGAGGTCGCGGATTCACAGGTTTGCCAGAAGTTCGGCATCATTCTGTGTGCAATTTTGCTGACTATGATGTGGAGGCAGTCTTCTCAGATACATAAACATGTAAAGACTTACCATTTTTTAGCAGTAATTTTAAGAACAATTGACCCTGCGAATTGCATCAGTTATTTCTGTCTTACAAGACTGATGAAGAGAGTAATCGATAGCTTTGCACTTTTATATAAAATAAATGTTACCTTGGCAAATTTTACCATCGCCAGTAAATCCAGATTCGCAAAAGCACTGATATGAACCCACGACATTAACACAGTCGCCGTCAGAGGAACAATCGTGTTTGCTTGATGTACACTCATCAATATCTACACACGAGTTACAAGAGACGGAGAAGTTAGACGTATGAGCCCATAACATTAACACAACTGCCATCAGAGGAACACTTCACCTTGCCTTAGACACATTCGTCAATATCTATTCAAGATTAAAGGAAGATGAAAAAAAACATATTCCTAATTTTGAAATAGATCTTTTTCATCTAAAGTTCATCTCCATGGTATTAATCAATTATTTCTGTCAGTTATTCCAAAATTCCACTGAACTATTTGCTTTCAGCACGAAACTTATACTTTTATTCGTTTCATTTCTGTTCTTGCCCTTGCATCAAATATCCATAGTTGACAACATGAAGGCAGTTTTCCCTTCGTATCACCCTTTCTTATTCTGATATTCTCTTTCTTTCTCGTTTTTCTGTAATCTCCATTATCTAGGATTTATCACATCACGACAGCAATACTTTAATATCACCTCTCGGTTAATGCTGCAGAAGAACATCTTATAACGACGTCTACAGTTGTCTCAACCTTGGGGTTTCAATCCTTCTAACAACCTCTAGCATTTAAGGGAGCACATACAGAACAAATCTAACTTGCCCCTTACCCTGTGACGGAGATATCCTTTAATGCAGATATTAAGGCTGTATTGATTAAACAGATGAGGATTCAAAACTCTCCTTGCTGAGAGGCTACTTTATTTGCAGCTTTATTGTGTAACTTTAACTATGAACCTGGGAGATGAAGACCTGCCGTGACGAGGAGTTTCCTTTCTCACCTATTTGGCAAAGCTCTCCTTCATATCCGTCAGAACAAATACAGCGGTAACCATGACTACCAAACCCCGCTTGACAAGTAGAGTGACTAACACACGGATTGCTCTCACAGGAATTCTAAAATGCAAAAGATGAATCAAGTAATTAGATAGATAAAGCTTAGATAAGGAAATAAATAGACTGAGTATTTAGAGAGATAAATAATAAAGTGGTAAACAATTAACGAGGAGGATCAACTTGAAACAGAGGTTTCTCGTTCGCGGAACGATCATCCTGGTAAAACTGATATTGTTATTTACTTACAATGATTGCTCTGTATAAAAAGTCGTTCCTATATTCGAAGTAACTGGGAGAGACTTGCAAATGAGTTCTGTTACTTAGCTGGCATGTGAATGTTCCATCTCCCAGCGGACCATAGTTATAGGACACACAGTTTGGTTCAAAGTAGCATTTCAACTCGCAGATATCCTTGTCCTTTGCTTGTTCACTTCTAATGACGTGTTTTGTTAAGATCTTGTTTTTCGTTCCTGCTTTGAACTGAATCACTCGGCAATCATCTAAGGGTTTGGCAAGAAATAAATAAGCCAATGAAGAAGCCAATGAGAAATGAAATCAAACAGCACACAAACTTAAAGGAAGCCGACAACCTAAGTTTTATCGCAATATTGGTTTAAAGTTGTTCCATAAATGCCAGGGAAACTACATAATTAACTCTTGATTTGCCGCTCGAAAAAAAAAAAAAAAAAAAACCACGAATATTTGCTACGCTCTTTCATCCTCGAAAGAAAGGCAGGTGATAAGCCTTTCCTCTCTATTCGTTATGTGAGTGACTTAGCTAAATAGCCTGCAAACTTGAATTATCCATGCATCATATTCACCTTACCAGAAAAGTTGCTTTTTCGGACCATAATTTTTTTATTTACCCATTACATTGAAGAATAAGATTGATGTTCGCCATTATAATTCTAAATAGGATCTGGTTTTAAAATGAGGGGGTGGGTTTCTAGGGAAACTGTGACGCTGCCTCGGTGGGGGTAGAACTCAATAACCGTTAGCGCTTCGCTTTGGAACGTCAGCTTTAGAAATTCTTCACGATAGCGAATCATACTATTACTCCTTCAGCTTTCAAGGTCTTCATCAGTGTCTCTTTCCGTTCCATTTATTAGGTAATAATCGGACATCAGCAACTCAAATATTGTGGACAAATCATATATATAGACCAATGTCGCCTTCAATCCGCAATAATTTTACCAACAGATCTTCTCTCCACGTCCACGTTTCATTTACGCCCAACTAAGATCACGGCATTGTAAACCGGGCAGTTTTGCAATAACGTGCTATCGTGCAATATCCCATTTCTGCCATTTTTACTTGAGAATTCGAAATTTTACATCATCACTCAGAATAGTTTTAAAGTTAACTTAATGAGTTTTCTCTTTTCACACACTTACTTTCTTCTTCCTTTTGTACCATTAACACAAGGATATGAATCTGATCAGGAATAAAACAGTTATAATGGATGAAAGTGTCAGCGATGCAAGCTTTTGGCAGGAGTCACTTACCTCCATACACCAGTACACCAAAACGAAAAATCCATAGAAAAGTTAGGACCTTACTCGTTGAAGGATCACCAATGGCTGGTGAGAACAGTATCATATTGTCATTAGTGAAAACACCTTTCAGCTAGCTATAGCGAGCTAAATGAAACGCTGGTCTCTCTTGTAAATGCAACGAGACCTTATATTTCAACACTCAAAACAATACAGCGAATTGCAGAATCATAAAAGAGAAAAGTAATTATTAATGTAAGCGGCAGATGTGTGACCAGCACGCTTCGCAGTTATAGGATTTTATTTTTTAACATTTGCGAGTACGTCACTTGAATAATCACATGGCTTAACTTAATTTGAAAACAAAACATCGAGTCTTAAGAAGTACAGGAAAACTGTAGGAGAAAAAAAATAACTTAAATGCGTGATGTTAGCCTTTGTAAATAACTAATTAACCGTTTGCCGAAGATTGCCTAACGCAAGACGTTTTCAGTGTCCCCACTTTGATGTATGCGTTAAATGAAGTTGAATTTTAATTTATTGAAGGATCAAAATAAAAAAAAATAAAAAGGTTGGACCGCTTCAAAAAGCTCCACGACAAAGACGTGCGAGAAAGCATGCACATTTATTTTAATTTAAGGAAATACTTGAAACAGAGAACATGCTGAACAGTGATAGATTTATTTTTGTGGAAATGAAATTGAAAAGACCATCAACACTTTTTTAAGCTAAAATATTTCAAGTGATAATTAATTAAAAAAGAATTCTTCAACGATAAGATGAAAGCTTAAGGAAATACTTGAAACAGAGAACATACTGAACAGCGATAGATTTAATTTTGTGGAAATGAAAATTGAAAAGACCATCAACACTTTTTTAAGCTAAGATATTTCAAGTGATAAACCCAAACTTGAACACCTATGCCTCTAAATAACCAAATTCAAATAAGAAGGAGGGTAAAAATTGAATATAATTAAAGTGAATCCGCTTGATATCAATCACATTGAAAATTCTCAATGTAGATTAGGTTGATGATACGCTTACATGGCTCAAGTTTGCACCTGACGTTTTGTTTACCTCAAGAGTACTAATTTTTTTTCTCATCTTAACTCAAATATATCGCCTTGGTGTCATGAAAGAGACTGGTGTCCTCCCTCGTTAAAAGCGAAAAAAAAAAATACCACAAAAGCAAAGGAAACAATTGTATTGGCAATATATTACAAGGACACCCCGTCGACACTGCTTTAAAGCTGAAATTAAATGTGCCAGCCGCCCACAAAAAAAAGCAGTGTCTTTGGTTACCAAAATTATTCAGGGCTAATATTTGTAGGATGGTTAAACGGTTTAATAATCGTTTCTGTCACAAACGTACCGCCATTCCGTCTTGTATCTTTAAGAGGCAACAAACGCATATTGCAGCTACCGTAGGACACTTTTCTTAACTGTTTAAACCAACGGGGTACCCCAATCAGCTCTTACTGCCAATCAAAATTTCCGTAAGTTCAGTTATTTATTTACTGAAGATAAAATTAAATACAAGCTATTCAAAGTGCGATTTCTGGACTCAAACCACTGTAAAGATGATGAAAAACAGAAACAAGGCATAAAATGAAACTCGACAGCTTTAAATTTAAGCTGTCTTAAAGAAGAGCTGATAAAAGAGATTGTCATTTGTTGAAGTTTTTTTATGAGCTCTGGGGCGCTAAAGTTTATTTTCAATTCATTTTCATTGAAAGAAAGCAAATTCATAAGCATCAGCCGCAGGGAAAATAACTGTTGTGAAATATTTAACAATAATGCCGTAAGCGCGCGTTGAATGTAAGCTGGTGAATAGCTAAGGAGGCACTTCATTACTACACTAGGTAATATTATAGCAAATCTCGACTCTTAGTATTGCTTTTTTTTCTGTTTTTTTCTTTTCGTCATTACATACTTGCATTTCTACATGAAATTATCTATTACGTTTCCATATCGATGTCGAAGCTTGCTGAATTTGTCAATATAGGGACCCTGTAACCAATCAGCTTACTTATCGTACCAACTGAACGGACCATTTATTAAGGACCTGGTGATTGAAGCCATATCACATCTACCGTGCCTTCTTTATGAACTAAATATCACCCGCTCTCTGATTGTTTGCCGGCTGTGATTCAGCAAAGTGCCGACGTACGACCGAAGTCATTTGTAGTTGCCACAACCGTTTAACCATGTAAATGGTACAGAGCATAAACGTCCGCGCATGTCTTACCATCGTTATTATACTCAGTATAATTAACCAAGTCATGCGCATACCATAATTGGAACTGCTGACCAACCGATACAACCAGTGGGGTGGGGAGGAGCTTAAACGCTAGTGTTGTGGAATTGAAATCGGCACCGTCAAGTTGGTAAGTATAATATGTGCTGTCATTGCCTTTCAAGAACTCAGCAAGCGGGAGAACTGTTTTGTTGCTGTTAGTTATCACCGTCATTAGGTTGTGATTTCCGTAAATTGGCAATGAGCATCCCCACTTTGTTGATATTGCTAAAATGGATACGCATGTCACGGAGCCGCTTGTATGGACAAGTTTAAATGCGTAGATTTGACCGGCTTCTTGGATATGAAAAGTTCCGTGGTCATCATCTTTTGTCCCAAAGCAGACAGGATCGATGTTGACCTTTTTCCAGTTATCTGTTAAAATGTTTGTCAAGTTTCAAAGAAAGCCTTAGGTTTTCGCGTCTTAGAAACGGTAACGCAAAATAAATTGATTTTTTTGAGGAAAGTAATTAAAGAAATAACTTTGGTTATGTTCAAACCACTCTACTCACTCACATTTGTTTGTTTTGAGTTAAAGATCAAGATATACCTGAGCAAAAGTGCCGTCCATCTCCAAGGTGTCCAGACTGACAGCTACAGTCGAATGATCCAGCAGTGTTTGTACAATCGGCCGCAAAGTGACAGTCATGGCTTCCATCGTTACACTCATCGATATCTAAGTAGAAATGGAATATGAGACTAATCAAGGTGTAGGGAAATTATCAGAAGAGGTGGGGTTGTTTTTTTGGCGTTTCCCAGAATCTACTGAAAAGTGTAACGTGCTGAGATTGTGAATTCACGGGTTTGCCAGAAGTTCGGCATCGTTCTGTATATTTTAAATATGCTTAAAAAAGCAATTTTGCTGATTATGATGTGGAGGCAGCCTTCTCTGTTACATTAACATGTAAAACCCTTTTTTAGCAGTAATTTTAAGGACAATTGACCCTGCGAATCACATCAGTTATTTCTGTCTTGCAAGACTGGTGAAGAGGGTAATCAATAGCTTTGCACTTTTATATAAAATAAATGTTACCTTGGCAAATTTTACCATCGCCAGTAAATCCAGGCTTGCAAGAGCACTGATAGGAACCCACGACATTAACACAGTCGCCGTCAGAGGAACAATCGTGTTTACTCGATGTACACTCATCAGTATCTACACACGAGTTACAAGAGACGGAGAAGTAAGATGTATAAGCCCATAACATTAACACAACTGCCATCAGAGGAACACTTCACCTTGCCTTAGACACATTCGTCAATATCTATTTAAGATTAAAAGAAGATGAAAAAACCATATTCCTTATTTTGAAATAGATCTTTTCATCTAAAGTGCATCTCCATCGTATTAATCAATTATTTCTGTCAGTTTTTCCCAATTTCAGCTATTGGCTTTTCAGCACGAAACTTATACTTTTATTTGTTTCATTTCTGTTCTTGCCCTTACATCAAATATCTACAATTGACAACATGAGGCAGTTTTCCCTTCATATCACCCATTCCTATTCCGATATTCTCTTACTTTCTCGTTTTCTTTAAGATCTATTATCTATGATTTATCACATCACGACAGCAATACTTTGATATCACCTCTCGGTTATTGCTGCAGAAGAAAATCTTATAACGACGTCTCCAGTTGTCGCAACTCTGGAGTTTCAATCCTTCTGACAACGTCTAGCATTTGAGAGAGTACATACTGAACAAATCTAACTTGCCCCTTGCCTTATAGAGGAGATATCCTTTGATGCAGATATTAAGGCTGTATTGATTAAACAGATGAGGATTCAAAACTTTCCTTGCTGAGAGGCTACTTTACTTGCAGCTTTATTGCGTGACTTTAACTATGAACCTGGGAGATAAAGACCTGCTACCGCGAGAGTTTCCTTTCTCACCTCTTTGGCAAAGCTCTCCTTCATATCCGTCAGAACAAATACAGCGGTAACCATGACTACCAAACCCCGCCTGACATGTAGAGTTACTAACACACGGATTGCTCTCACAGGAATTCTAAAATGCAAAAGATGAATCAAGTAATTAGATAGATAAAGCTTAGATGAGTAATTAAATAAATTGAATATTTAGAGGGATAAATAATAAAGTGGGTAAATAAATAAACGAGGCGGATCAACTTGAAACAGAGGTTTCTCGCTCGCGGAACGATCACCCTGGTAAAATTGATATTGTTATTTACTTACAATGATTGATCTGTATAAAGAGCCGTTCCTATATTCGAAGTAACTGGGAGAGACTTGCAAATGAGTTCTGTTGCTTAGCTGGCATGTGAATGTTCCATCTCCCAGTGGACCATAGTTATAGGACACACAGTTTGGTTCAAAGTAGCATTTAAACCCGCAGATATTCTTGTCCTTTGTTTGTTCACTTCTTATGACGTGTTTTGTTAAGATCTTGTTTTTCGTTCCTGCTTTGAACTGAATCACTCGGCAATCATCTAAAGTTTTGGCAAGAAATGAAGAATTCAATGAGAAAATGAAATCAAACGGCACACAAACTTAAAGGAAGCCGACAACCTAAGTTTTATCGCAATATTTGTTGAAAGTTGTTCCATGAATGCCAGAAAAACTACATAATTAACTCTTGATTTGCCGCTCGACGAAAAAAAAAAAAAACACGGATATTTGCTATGCTCTTTCATCCTCGAAAGAAAGGCAGGTGATAAGCCTTTCCTCTGTTTTCTTTAGTTGACTGACTAAGCTGAATAGCCTGACACTTGAATTCAAGGTATCATATTCATCTTAACAGAAAAGTTGCTTTTTCGGAGAATAATTTTTTTCATTTACCCATGACATTTAAGAACAAGATTGATGTTCACCACTGTGATTTTAATTAGGATCTGGTTTTCAAATGAGGGGGTAGGTTTCTAAGGAAACTGTAACGCTGCATCAGTGGGGGTATAATTCAATAACCGTTAGCGCTTCGCTCTGGAACGTCAGCTTTAGAAAAATTATTTACGATAGCAAGTCTATATTATTACTCCTTTAGCTTTCAAGGTCTTCATCAGTGTCTTTTTCCGTTCCATTTATTATATATAATAATCGGACATCAGCAACTCAAAAACTGTGGACAAATCACATATAGACCAATGTCGCCTTGAATCAGCAATAATTTTACCAACAGATCTTCTCTCCACGTCCACGTTTCCTTCAAGCCCAACTAAGATCACGGCATTGTAAACAGGGTAGTTTTGCAATAACGTGCTATCGTGCAATATCCCATTTCTGCCATATTTACTTTAAGAATTCGAAATTTCACATCATTACCATGAATAGATCTAAAGTTAACTTAATGAGTTTTCTCTTTTCACACACTTACTTTTTTGTACCATAACACAAGGATATGAATCTGATCACGAATACAACAGTGATAATAGATTAAAGTGTCAGCGATGCCAGCTTTTGGCAGGAGTCACTTACCTCCATACACCAGTACACCAAAACGAAAATCCATAGAAAAGTTAGGACCTTACTCATTGAAGGATCACTAACGGCAGGTGAGAGCAGTACCATATTGTCCTTAGTGAGAACACCCTTCAGCTAGCTCTAGCGAGCTGAATGAAACGCTGGTCTCTCTTGTAAATGCAACCAGACATAATATTTCAACACTCAAAATAATACAGCGAATTGCAGAATCATAAAAGAGGAAAGTAATTATTAATGTAAGCGGCAGATGTGAGATCAGCACCCTTCGAAGTTATAGAATTTTATTTTTTAACATTTACGAATACGTCACTTGAACATTCACATGGCCAAACTTAATTTGAAAACAAAACATTGAGTCTTAAGAATTACAGAAAAACTGTAAGAGAAAAAAATAACTTCAATGCGTGATGTTAGCCTTTGTAAATAACTAATTAACCGTTTGCCGAAGATTGCCTAACGCAAGAGGTTTTTCAGTGTTACCAATTAAATGTTTGCATTAAATGAAATTGAAAATCTGTCGAGTGCGTTCAACGGCAAATCAATTTATTGAAGGATCACTATACTAAAAGGTTGGACCGCTTCAAAAAGCTCCAAGACAAAGACGTGCGAGGAGGCATGCTTATTTATTTTAATTAAGTAGGAATAGTTCAACGATTCGATGAAAGCTTAAGGAAATACTTGAAACACAGAACATGCTGAATAGCCATAGATTAATTTTGTGGAAATGAAAACTGAAAAAAAACCATCAACACTTTTTTTAAGCTAAAATATTTCAAGTGATAAACCCAAACTTGAACACCTGTGTCTCTAAATAACCAAATTCAAGTAAGAAGGAGGGTAAAATTGAATACAATTAAAGTGAATCCACTTGATATCAATCACATAGAAAATTCTCAATGTGGATTGGGTTGGTGATACACTTACATGGGTCAAGTTTGCACCTGACGTTTGTTTACCTTAAGATTAATCATTTTTTTTCTCATCTTAACTCAAATATATCGCCTTGGTGTCATAAAAGAGGCTGATGTCCTGCCTTGTAAAAAAGGAACAAAAAAAAAAGATGAAATACCACAATGCCAAAGGAAACAACTGAATTGACAATATATCACAAGGACACCCCGTCGACATTGCTTTAAAGTGAAATTTAAATGCGCCGGCCACCCACAAAAAAAGTAGTGTTTTTGGATACCGAAATTATTCAGGGCTAATTTTTGTTGGATAGTTAAACGGTTTAACAATCGTTTCTGTCAAGAACGTACCGCCATCCCGTCACGTATCTTCAAGACGCGACAAACGCATATAACAACTACCGTAGGACACTTTTCTTAACTTTTAAAACCAACGGGGTACCCCAATCACCTCTTATTGCCAATCAAAATTTCTGTAAGTTCAGTTGTTTATTTACTGAAGATAAAATTAAATACAAGCTATTCAAAATGCGATTCCTGGACTCAAATCCATTCTAAAGATGATGAAAAACAGAAACACGGCATAAAATGAAACTCGACAGTTTTAAATTTGAGCTATCTTAAAGAAAAGCTGATATAAGAGATTGTCATTTATTGAAGTTTTGAAGAGCTCCGGGAAGCTAAAGTCTATTTTCAAAACATTTTCATTGAAAGAAAGCAAATTAATAAGCATCAGCCGCCGGGAAAGTAATTGTTGGGAAATATTTAACAATAATGCAGTAGGCGCGCGTTGAATGTGAGCTGGTGAATAGCTAAGGAGGCACTTCATTACTACACTAGGTAATATTATGGCAAATCTCGACTCTTAATATTGCTTTTTTTTCTGTTTTTTTTCGTTATTACATACTTGCATTATTACATGAAATTATCTACTACGTTTCCATATCGATGTCGAAGCTCGCTGCATTTGTCAATATAGGGACCCTACAACCAATCAGCTTACTTATCGTACCAACTGAACGGACCATTCATTAAGGACCTAGTGACTGAAGCCATATCACATCTACCGTGCCTTCTTTATGAACTAAATAACAGCCACTCTCCAACTGTTTGCCGGCTGTGATTCAGCAAAGTGCAGACGTACGGCTGAAGTCACCTGTAGTTGCCGCAACCGTTTAACCGTGTCAATGGTAAAGAGCATAAACGTCTGCGCATGTCTTACCACCGTTATTATACTCAGTATAATCAACCAAGTCATGCGCATACCATAATTGGAACTGCTGACCGACCAATACAACCAGTGGGGTGGGGAGGATTTTTAAACGCTAGTGTTGTGGAGTTGAAATCGGCACCGTCGAGTTGGTAAGTATAGTATGTGTTGTCGTTGCCTTTCAAGAACTCAGCAAGCGGAAGAACTGTTTTGTTACTGTAAGTTATCACCGTCATTAGGTTGTGATTTCTGTAACTTGGAGATGAGCATCCCCACTTTGTTGAAGTGGTGCATGTCACGGAACCACTTGTATGGACAAGTTTAAATGTGTAGATTTGACCGGCTTCTTGGATATAAAAAGTTCCGTGGTCGTCATTTTTTGTCCCAAAACAGACAGGATCGAGGTTGACCTTTTTCCAGTTATCTGTTAAATAGTTTGTCAGGTTTCAAAGAAAGCCTTAGGTTTTCGCGTCTTAGAAATGGTAACGCAAAATAAATTGATTTGTTGGAGGAAAGTAATTCAAAAATAACTGTGGTTATGTTCAAACCACACTACTCACTCACATTTGTTTGTGTTTTGGGTTAAAGATCAAGATATACCTGAGCAAAAGTGCCGTCCATCTCCAAGGTGTCCAGACTGACAGCTGCAGTCGAATGATCCAGCGGTGTTTGTACAATCGGTGCAAAGTGACAGTCATGGCTTCCATCGCTACAGTCATCGATATCTAAGTAGTAATTTAATATAAGACTAATCAAGGTGTAGGGAAATTATCAGAAGAGGTGGGGTTGTTTTATTTGGCGTTTCCCAGAGTCTACTGAAAAGTGTAACGTGCTGGGGTCGTAAATTCACAGGTTTGCCAGAAGTTCGGCATCGTTCTGTATATTTTAGATATGCTTAAAAAAGCAATTTTGCTAACTATGATGTGGAGGCAGCTTTCTCCGTTACATTAACATGTAAAGACTGACCTGTTTTAGCAGTAATTTCAACTGACCCTGCGAATCACATCAGTTATCTCTGTCTTGCAAGACTGGTGAAGAGGGTAATCAATAGCTTTGCACTTTTATATAAAATAAATGTTACCTTGGCAAATTTTACCATCGCCAGTAAATCCAGGCTTGCAAGAGCACTGATAGGAACCCATCACATTAACACAGTCCCTGTCAAAGGAACAATCGTGTTTCCTCGATGTACACTCATCAGTATCTACACACGAGTTACAAAAGATGGAAAAGTAAGACGTATGAGCCCATAACATTAACACAACTGCCATCAGAGGAATACTTCTCCTTGCCTAAGATGCATTCGTCAATATCTATTTAAGATTAAAGGAATATGAAAAAAACCATAATATTCCTTATTTTGAAATAGATCTTTTTCATCTAAAGTGCACCTCCATCGTATTAATCAATTATTTCTGTCAGTTTTTCCAAAATTTCAACTATTTGCTTTCAGCACTAATAATATACATGATTGGTTATGATAAATGCAGTTTTCAGGTAATTCAGTGCAGAAGAGAGTTAATTCAGTGCAGAAGAGGGTTAATTCAGTGAAAAGAAAGTGACAACTCAGACATTCTGATTGGTCAATAATCAAAGAAATTCACAGATAGCCAATCAAATGCGTGCCTTGGATGTCGCAACAAAACTTGAAAATTTGCGAGCGAAACAATGGCCGGCGTTTTAAGTAGGTTTTCTTTCGCCACCGCGGCTGAAAAACAGCTCAAACAACGAAAACACTGTAAAAGCACTGCTTTTTGGTTGTCGGTTTGGCAAAAGTGGTGTTTAGAGAAGGGAATTGCCAAGGAAATCGAAAATTACGAGCCGACCCAGCTTAACATTTTGCTCGAGCGATCCAAAGTCGAAATTAAAAATAAACATGGTTAAACCCTCGAAACGATGATTCCATTTCATGGAAAGTGATTCCGACACAGACTGAACACTTCCTTGAACTGTTTAGCCGGACTTTGAACTTTTTGCGCCTTAAAGATGTGAAGATATCATTGCATATTACTGTTTGAATAAATTATTTTTGCACTTGATGCGCGCGCTTTGCTTATGCTAAATTGTGATAAGCCATCTCGTTTTTTTCATGCATATTATTAACACGTAGTCACATGATTTTTATCGCGCAATTTGAAATAAACAAGCACTTGTTAATTTTTTTTCAAAGACCACAAATTGCACGCGCCCTACCGGCTCGTGCAACTTTGTTAGTCTTTAAAAATATTTACTCGTGCTTATTTATTCCAAATTGCACTCGAAATCACGTGATTACCTATACGAAACTTGTATTTTAATTGGTTTCATTTCTGTTCTTACCCTTGCATCAAATATCCACAATTGACAACATGAGGCACTTTTCCCTTCATATCACCCATTCTTATTCCGATATTCTCTTACTTTCTCGTTTTTCTGTAAGCTCCATTATCTAGGATTTATCACATCACGACAGCAATACTTTGATATCACACCTCGGTTAATGCTCTAGAGGAACATCTTAACACGACTTCTCTAGTTGTCACAACCTTGGAGTTTCAATCCTTCTGACAACTTCTAGCATTTGACAGAGCACATACAGAACAAATCTAACTTGCCCCTTGCCCCATGACGGAGATATCCTTTGATGCAGATATCAAGGTTGTATTAATTAAACAGATGAGGATTCAAAGCTCTCCTTGATGAGAGGCTACTTTATTTGCAGCTTTATTGTGTAACTTTAACCGTAAACCTGAGAGATGAAGACCTGCTATCGCGAGGAGTTTCCTTTCTCACCTCTTTGGCAAAGCCCTCCTTCAAATCCGTCAGAACAAATACAGCGGTAACCACGACTACCAAACCCCGCTTGACAAGTAGAGTTACTAACACACGGATTGCTCTCACAGGAATTCTAAAATGCAAAAGATGAATCAAGTAATTAGATAGATAAAGCTTAGATGAGTAAATAAATTGACTGAGTATTTAGAGAGATAAATAATAAAGTGGTAAATAAATAAACGAGGATCAACGTGAAACAGAGGTTTCTCGCTTGCGGAACGATCACCCTGGTAAAACTCATATGGTCATTTACTTACAATGATTGATCTGTATAAAGAGCCGTTCCTATATTCGAAGTAACTGGGAGAGACTTGCAAATGAGTTCTGTTGCTTAGCTCGCATGTGAATGTTCCATCTCCCAACGGACCATAGTTATAGGACACACAGTTTGGTTCAAAGTAGCATTTAAACCCGCAGATATTCTTGTCCTTTGCTTGTTCACTTCTTATGACGTGTTTTGTTAAGATCTTGTTTTTCGTTCCTGCTTTGAACTGAATCACTCGGCAATCATCTAAAGTTTTGGCAAGAAATGAAGAATTCAATCTATCGCAAGGAGTTTCCTTTCTCACCTCTTTGGCAAAGCCCTCCTTCAAATCCGTCAGAACAAATACAGCGGTAACCACGACTACCAAACCCCGCTTGACAAGTAGAGTTACTAACACACGGATTGCTCTCACAGGAATTCTAAAATGCAAAAGATGAATCAAGTAATTAGATAGATAAAGCTTAGATGAGTAAATAAATTGACTGAGTATTTAGAGAGATAAATAATAAAGTGGTAAATAAATAAACGAGGATCAACGTGAAACAGAGGTTTCTCGCTTGCGGAACGATCACCCTGGTAAAACTCATATGGTTATTTACTTACAATGATTGATCTGTATAAAGAGCCGTTCCTATATTCGAAGTAACTGGGAGAGACTTGCAAATGAGTTCTGTTGCTTAGCTCGCATGTGAATGTTCCATCTCCCAACGGACCATAGTTATAGGACACACAGTTTGGTTCAAAGTAGCATTTAAACCCGCAGATATTCTTGTCCTTTGCTTGTTCACTTCTTATGACGTGTTTTGTTAAGATCTTGTTTTTCGTTCCTGCTTTGAACTGAATCACTCGGCAATCATCTAAAGTTTTGGCAAGAAATGAAGAATTCAATCTATCGCAAGGAGTTTCCTTTCTCACCTATTTGGCAAAGCTCTGCTTCATATCCATCAGAACAAATACAGCGGTAACCATGACTACCAAACCCCGCTTGACATGTGGAGTTACTAACACACGGATTGCTCTTGTCTCTCCATCGTCAATTTGCTCTTGTCTCTCCATCGTCAATTTATCCAGGTCGACAATGTGAGCACTGATATGAACCCAAATTATTGACACATTCGCGCTCAGCAGTGTTTTGCTAATTGGCATTCATCAACATCTTCACAGAATTTAAGAAAAAAAACCAAAGCTAGAAACTCTCCACTATAAGACATTTCTTCCAACTCTATGAAAGTGGCCCTGTGTATCTGTGTACTTTTCTTTCTGTCTCTCTTCCTGCCTGTCCTTTTCACATCTTTTTAGTCAGGATTCTTACGCCTGTTCTCCTGTCTTTTCTCCATCGTAATATTGCACGCATAATTTTTTGGCAATTATAGCTTGTTAACTTTAATGTAAACTCAATTAAATATTGAACTGTCTGAACTCATCTTTTTATCGTTAGATGTTTTTTTTTCCTCACCTGTTTCACACTGAACTCCTCGATATCCAGCAGGACAAAAACAGCGGTATCCATGGTTACCAAACCCCGCTTGACATGTGGCGTGATTGGCACATGGAATGCTCTCACAAGGATTCTGAAAAGATAAGAAGAAAATATATCAATTTATAAAATAAATTAATTTTAAAATGATGAATAGATAAATAAATAACATCGAAGGGAACAACACTATATCCGAGTTTTTTTTGTTCGTAAATTGATCACCTTTGTAAATTAAAACTGCATGTTACCAGGCCGTACTTACAAAAATTTCTGTGTATACAAATCCACTTTTGTCTTCAGGGAGTCGGGGACTTGTAAGTGGGTCCTGTCATTCAGTTCACATGTGAATGTTCCATCTGACAGTGGAACATAGTTGTAGGACACGCAGTTTGGTTCAAGATAGCATCTCAATTCACAAACATCCTTGTCTGGCAGATGATCTCCCCTAATGACGTGATTTGTTAAGATCTTATTTTTGCTCCTTCTTTGAATTCAATCACTCGACAATCATCTGAGGGAGGAAGAAGGAATAGGGAAACCAATGAGAAATATAATCAGCTATATCAAAAAAGCATGAACAGGTGGCAAACCTTTCCATATTATGGGCAGTAATTCAGTCAAATTGCCTTCAACGCGAAAGCCTTTTGTGCGGCATTTACATCTCAAAAAGGTAATTTCTTTCGACCTTTTTTCTTTTAGGAGAGATGGTCAAAACTAATACTCTTTTACTCACAATACGTGAGGGTTGATATCAAATTGAAACAGAAACCGGAATAGGCTGAAGGAAAGAGAGGAATATGATCGTAAGGAACACGTGGATGAAGCAGAAATTACCTCATTTGCGTAAAATTTTTAATCTTTTCTTGTTTTCGTTTTTATGCTTTGTCTTGTTCCTTCTATTTAATTTGTTTATTTCTAACTTAATTGATTCATGAACAGAGCTTTACGAATGCATCACAAACCAAGACAATTGTCCCTGAGAGAATGGACTGGGCATGCAGTGACTGTGGACTTGTCCTGGTCAGCTCCGGCCTTTATGGATGATTTAATACCGACACTGAAAAGGAAAAATAGAAAAGGTAGCTTTAAATCGTCTGCGACAAGAAAACTCGGATAATTAACGGATAATTTAAGCAAAATTAAATATGTTCAATGATCGTTTCCTGTAATCCAATATGTCAGTTTTAAGTAGGTTACGTCGGTAACAGTTGTATATGATTTTACCAGGCGATATGTTGTTAATCCTCTACACTATGACGAGGTGTAAATAGGCGTCAGGAAGTAAGCCGCCATCATCACGATTTAAAAGAGCGTGGGCGGAGTTGATATGCCAGGCCTCCAAACAAAGGCGCTGGTGGTAACGTCGATTAGTGATGATAATTGTAGACTTATCCCACCCAATTGTATGGTTGTTTAGGCATGTGTGCTTCGACAAAGCTGAATTTTCTTTTTCGCAAAAGAAGACCACTTTTTGATGTTCTTTCAAACGTGTACCAAACTGACGTTTGGTCTGTCCGATATACTCGTGACCACAGTCATTTGCACGGAATAGAATAAATAGCGTCGGTTCATATTTATTCTATTTATTCTATTCCACGGCAAAAAGTTCGAATTTTCATATCGGGGAAAGTGAAAGTGAATTTCTACCTTATGTCCGTTTTTACCAAAACATCTTTCTTATTCATTTTTTGTTTTCATGAGTTCGCCGTTTTGTTGTAAATTGGGCATTCACTCACTTTCCACAACTAAATATTTTGGGAGCAATTCACAGCCCAAAAAAATTTAGTAAGATTGTATGTTTTGTCATAGACAAGAGCTCCCTTCGAAACCTTTCAACATTTTAAAACTTAACTTTGCTGCTCTAAAGTCAAATTCTCACCTAGCTTGTTGCGATTGAGATTTAAAACAGTTTATATGAAAACAACATTATTTTGCCTAATTGTGGCACACAAAAAAACTTGAAGAAAAATTTTTTTCGGGGAAGTTTTGGAAGTTTGAAGGGAAGAGACTTTGCCGAGTGACATAAGTGCCCTATTGTACTAATTTTGAATGATAACAAATTCATGATTACCTAAAGCCCTTGAATAAACGTTATGTGTCTGAGTTATTTATTGAAAAAAAAAAGCTTTTATTCCACAGCACTTGCGTTACCAAATGTTTTTTCCGTTGGCGAGAAGGAGTGATGGATATTTGCAACGATTAGGGCACTTTTGTAACGATCAACGTATGCCACATAAACTGTTGATAACTCTCCTGGTGGCTTTCCAACGAATAAAACAATTCATGTTATTTGTGTTTCTATAAAAAAAACCCGTTTAACTCATGTGAATCATTGTTCTTTTATTTGATGACAGTCTTCATAGGGGTATGCCCAAGTGGGGTGGGTGGGGGTGGTTGACATGACGGTCAGTTTATCCGTTGTACTATAAAATGCGTAATAAGAGGTTACGCTTGATTCGCAGCCGCTATTTTCCGATCAGACTGAAAAGCAGCACAAATTGACTTCAATACTCTGAAAAGCCAACGCCGGATTGGTATAAGACGACAGTTTCCTCAAAAGTATGCTGATTAATGTTGTCTGGTATTTATCTGCTGTCGAAATGTCATTCAGCTGCCTATATATATATTTATAACGTATTTGCATGGTATTGTCAACAATACTACTACTGGCCGGCTTTTGGTCAGTGCTCCATTCCCGTGGAAGAATTCCATGTGAACTCTATGAAAGAGGTGGAGCCTAGAAACTCGTGGGTAAGTATCAGAATAAAATTCCTAAAACAGCCCAATCTGGGCAGTTTCACCCCTTAAATATGTTATTATAGTAGGAAGGAGCAAAAAGGAAAGTAAGCGCGAAAAATATAGAATGAGGCCGGAGGGGTAGAAACTGGAACAGAAACTGGAACAGACTGACACCATGATCAAACAGACAAGCAATTAATACAAGCTATTTATACAAGCTATCCATTCAGGTTCGTAACAAGGTATATGAGATCAGGGATCAACGGCTTAGGGGTGGGATCAGGGATCGCAGCCCTGGGATCTGGGATCACAACACTTGGGATCGGGATCAGCAGTGTTTTTGTGGAATCAGGGATCAAAATTGTGAACGTTTTTGGGATCAGGGATCAAAATTCCCAATGTTTTTGTGATCAGGGATTAAAATTCTCAACGTTTTTGTGATCAGGGATCAAACTTTGGGGCAAAAACAACAAAAAAAACAACAACTCTCTCTCTCAGGCCCGTTTCAGTGTTCGTCAATCTCGCTACATGTCCATCAGGACCAGTTTTTAAAGGACAGATAAAGGGCATTGCTATACAACGGATAAATCGTTATCCAGACGATAAGTAATAACGAAACCTACTGCGCTACACGTCGGATAGCAATTTATCCAGTAGATAGTGTTATCATCCCTTTAAAAAACCAGGCTGAACGTCTCTGTCTGTGTCTCCCCTATTGTTACTGTTTGTCTAATTGAATAAGAATCATAAGGGGCTACAAGGCGTTTATAGCCATGTGAACAGCTCGTCTCCAATACACAACTATTTTTTTTTAATTGGCCATCTCGAATCTATGGATTAAAAAATGGTAAAGTACTTCCAAATATTCGATTTTTTTACATTCACTTTTGGCAATTCTACCATTCAAATAGCGCGTATACTATTCAAAATGAAAATTACCCAGAATTACTAGAACTGAACAAAATGCGAGCTCGAAAGAGACCGACAAACATGTGGAATTTATTCAATCCGTCTTCTGTTATCATTCCCAAATAACAGCCGTGACTGAAATTAATTGGAACTTGGTTACATATCACATGATATGATAAATTTATCACATGATGATAAATTTAAGAAGGTCTGTTAATTTTTAAAATGTTAAATGAATTTTTCTCGGCCCCTTCTTTTACTTGAAACCACACTGATTATTTAATGTATTTGACACTTCTCTTCCAAGCTAATTCTAAAATCTAACTACTATGAGAACGTTATATCTGGTATTGTTCAGGTCTCAACTTTCTAAATAATAATTATAGCAACCGCTGTAGAAAAGGTTTCTGAAATACTGCAGATGGAACTTCGCTCGGCGAAAGGCACCAAGGATCCTCGATCCGTCCTTTTCAATCTTCTTTGATATATGTTCTCTTATACAATTATACTTACAGAAAATTCATCCCTCTTGACTTGACTCGTTATAACTCAGACTGACTGATAAACTCTGATTGTCTCTCTGATCGACTCTAATTTACTTTGAGTTAATCTGGTGGGCTGACTTCTAACTTAATAGTACGCGCTTTACATTCACTTTCGGTAGGCATGAGTAGGCATGCTGGTCAAATGATCTTCGAAGATTACGCTCTAGCCTTCAAAACAGCAACACACGCCTATTTTCACCCTCTCCCCCATGACATTTTAATAATCTTTCAGGCGTACTTTTTCTTCTCTCAATTTGACTCTAACTTGATCTTGTTAAATCAAATTAAAACTTTGATCTTCATAAATAAACTGTCGACCTTCCAAATCTCAGATTTAGTTCAATGCTGAATTTCAGTTTAAAGAGTACAAAGCATAAACGTCCGCACATGTCTCACCATCGTTATTATACTCGGTAGAACCAACCAGGTCATGCGCATACCAAATTTGGAACTGTTGGCCAACAGATACAACCAAGGGCATGGGGAGAAAATTAAACACAAGCGTGGGAGAGTTGACATCAGCACCATCAAGTTGGTAAGTATACAGTTTGTTTTCGGCGTTACTTTTCACGAACTCAGCAAGTGGAAGAACAGTTTTGTTGCTGTATGTTATCACTGTCATCAGGTTATAATTTCCGTATTCTGGTCGTAAGCATCCCCATTTGGTCGGTGAGCGATTAGTGTCGCATGTAACGGAGCCACTTGTATGTACGAGTTTGAAAGTGTAGACTTGACCGGCTTCTCGGATATCAAAAGTTCCGTGGTCGTCATTTTTTGTCCCAAAACAGACAGGATCGATGTTGACCTTTTCCCAGTTATCTGTTAAAAAGTTTTCCAGGTTTCAAATAAAGCCTCAGGTTTTCGTGTCTTGGAAATGGTAACGCAAATAAATTGATTTATTTGAGGAAAGTAATTAAAGAATAACTGTGGTTATGTTCAAACCACACTATTCACTCACATTTGTTTGTGTTTTGGGTTAAAGATCAAGATATACCTGAGCAAAAGTGCCGTCCATCTCCAAGGTGTCCAGACTGACAGCTGCAGTCGAATGATCCAGCGGTGTTTGTACAATCGGCCGCAAAGTGACAGACATGGCTTCCATCGTTACACTCATCTATATCTAAGTAGAAATGGAATATGAGACTAATCAAGGTGTAGGGAAATTATCAGAAGAGGTGGGGTTGTTTTTTTGGCGTTTCCCAGAATCTACTGAAAAGTGTAATGTGTTGAGGTCGCGGATTCACAGGTTTGCCAGAAGTTCGGCATCATTCTGTGTGCAATTTTGCTGACTATGATGTGGAGGCAGTCTTCTCAGATACATAAACATGTAAAGACTTATAATTACCATTTTTTAGCAGTAATTTTAAGAACAATTGACCCTGCGAATTGCATCAGTTATTTCTGTCTTACAAGACTGATGAAGAGAGTAATCGATAGCTTTGCACTTTTATATAAAATAAATGTTACCTTGGCAAATTTTACCATCGCCAGTAAATCCAGATTCGCAAAAGCACTGATATGAACCCACGACATTAACACAGTCGCCGTCAGAGGAACAATCGTGTTTGCTTGATGTACACTCATCAGTATCTACACACGAGTTACAAGAGACGGAGAAGTTAGACGTATGAGCCCATAACATTAACACAACTGCCATCAGAGGAACACTTCACCTTGCCTTAGACACATTCGTCAATATCTATTCAAGATTAAAGGAAGATGAAAAAAAACATATTCCTTATTTTGAAATAGATATTTTTCATCTAAAGTTCATCTCCATGGTATTAATCAATTATTTCTGTCAGTTATTCCAAAATTCCACTGAACTATTTGCTTTCAGCACGAAACTTATACTTTTATTCGTTTCATTTCTGTTCTTGCCCTTGCATCAAATATCCATAGTTGACAACATGAAGGCAGTTTTCCCTTCGTATCACCCTTTCTTATTCTGATATTCTCTTTCTTTCTCGTTTTTCTGTAATCTCCATTATCTAGGATTTATCACATCACGACAGCAATACTTTAATATCACCTCTCGGTTAATGCTGCAGAAGAACATCTCATAACGACGTCTACAGTTGTCTCAACCTTGGGGTTTCAATCCTTCTAACAACCTCTAGCATTTAAGGAAGCACATACAGAACAAATCTAACTTGCCCCTTACCCTGTGACGGAGATATCCTTTAATGCAGATATTAAGGCTGTATTGATTAAACAGATGAGGATTCAAAACTCTCCTTGCTGAGAGGCTACTTTATTTGCAGCTTTATTGTGTAACTTTAACTATGAACCTGGGAGATGAAGACCTGCCGTGACGAGGAGTTTCCTTTCTCTTCTCTTTGGCAAAGCTCTCCTTCATATCCGTCAGAACAAATATAGCGGTAACCATGACTACCAAACCCCGCTTGACAAGTAGAGTGACTAACACACGGATTGCTCTCACAGGAATTCTAAAATGCAAAAGATAAATCAAGTAATTAGATAGATAAAGCTTAGATGAGTAAATAAATAGACTGAGTATTTAGAGAGATAAATAATAAAGAGGTAAACAAATAAACGAGGAGGATCAACTTGAAACAGAGGTTTCTCGTTCGCGGAACGATCACCCTGGTAAAACTGATATTGTTATTTACTTACAATGATTGCTCTGTATAAAAAGTCGTTCCTATATTCGAAGTAACTGGGAGAGACTTGCAATTGAGTTCTGTTACTTAGCTCGCATGTGAATGTTCCATCTCCCAGCGGACCATAGTTATAGGACACACAGTTTGGTTCAAAGTAGCATTTGAACTCGCAGATATCCTTGTCCTTTGCTTGTTCACTTCTTATGACGTGTTTTGTTAGGATCTTGTTTTTCGTTCTTGCTTTGAACTGAATCACTCGGCAATCATCTAAGGGTTTGGCAAGAAATAAATAAGCCAATGAAGAAGCCAATTAGAAATGAAATCAAACAGCACACAAACTTAAAGGAAGCCGACAACCTAAGTTTTATCGCAATATTTGTTGAAAGTTTTTCCATAAATGCCAGGGAAACTATATAATTAACTCTTGATTTGCCGCTCGACGAAAAAAAAAAAGCCACGAATATTTGGAAAGGCAGGTGATAAACCTTTCCTCTCTTTTCGTTAGGTGAGTGACTTAGCTAAATAGCCTGCAAACTTGAATTCAAGGCATCATATTCATCTTACCAGAAAAGTTGCTTTTTCGGACAATCATTTTTTTATTTACCAATTACATTGAAGAATAGGATTGATGTTCACCATTATGATTCTAAATAGGATCTGGTTTTCAAATGAGGGGGTAGGTTTCTAAGGAAACTGTGACGCTGCCTCGATGGGGGTAGAACTCAATAACCTTTAGCGCTTCGCTCTGAAACGTCAGCTTTAGAAATTCTTCACGATAGCAAATCTATACTATTACTCCTTTAGCTTTCAAGGTCCTCATCAATGTGTTTTTCCGTTTCAGTTTTCATTTCATAATAATCGGACATCAGCAACCCAAAAATTGTTAACAGATCATGTTTGGACAAATGTCGACTTGAATCCGCAATAATTTTACCAAAAGATCTTCTCTCCACGTCCACGTTTCCTTTACGCCCAACTAAGATCACGGCATTGTAAACAGGGTAGTTTTGCAATAACTGCTATCGTGCAATATCCCATTTCTGCCATTTTTACTTTGAGAATTCGAAATTTCACATTATCACTCGGAATAGATTTAAAGTTAACTTAATGAGTTTTCTCTTTTCACACACTTACTTTCTTCTTTTTTTTGTACCATAACACAAGGATATGAATCTGATCAGGAATAAAACAGTTATAATAGATTAAAGTGTAGGCGATGCCAGCTTTTGGCAGGAGTCACTTACCTCCATACACCAGTACACCAAAACGAAAAATCCATATTAAAGTTAGGACCTTACTCATTGAAGGATCACCAACGGCTGGTGAGAACAGTATCATATTGTCGTTAGTGAGAACACCCTTCAGCTAGCTATAGCGAGCTAAATGAAACGCTGGTCTCTCTTGTAAATGCAACGAGACCTAATATTTCAACACTCAAAACAATACAGCGAATTGCAGAATCATAAAAGAGGAAAATGATTATTAATGTAAGCGGCAGATGTGAGACCAGCACGCTTCGCAGTTATAGGATTTTATTTTTTAACATTTGCGAATACGTCACTTGAATAATCACATGGCTTAACTTAAATTGAAAACAAAACATCGAGTCTTAAGAATTACAGAAAAACTGTAGGAGAAAAAAAAAACTTAAATGCGTGATGTTTGCCTTTGTAAATAACTAATTAACAGCTTGCCGAAGATTGCCTAACGCAAGACGTTTTTCAGTGTTACCACTTTGATGTATGCGTTAAATGAAGTTGAAAATCTGTCGAGCGCGTTCAACTGCAGATTAATTCATTGAAGGATCAAAATAAAAAAAGGTTGGACCGCTTCAAAAAGCTCCACGACAAAGACGTGCGAGAAAGCATGCACATTTATTTTAATTTTAAGGAAATACTTCAAACAGAGAACATGCTGAACAGTGATAGATTTATTTTTGTGGAAATGAAAATTGAAAAGACCATCAACACTTTTATAAGCTAAAATATTTCAAGTGATAATTAATTAAAAAAGAATTCTTCAACGATAAGATGAAACCTTAAGGAAATACTTGAAACAGAGAACATACTGAACAGCGATAGATTTAATTTTGTGGAAATGAAAATTGAAAAGACCATCAACGCTTTTTTAAGCTAAAATATTTCAAGTGATAAACCCAAACTTGAACACCTTTGCCTCTAAATAACCAAATTCAAATAAGAAGGAGGGTAAAATTGAATATAATTAAAGTGAATCCACTTGATGTCAATCACATAGAAAATTCTCAATGTAGATTAGGTTGGTGATACACTCACAAGGCTCAAGTTTGCACCTGACGTTTGTTTACCTCAAGAGCACTCATTTTTTTTTCTCATCTTAACTCAAATATATTGCCTTGGTGTCATGAAAGAGGCTGATTTCCTGCCTCGTAAAAAGCGAAAAAAAAAATACCACAAAAGAAAAGGAAACAATTGTATTGGCAATATATTACAAGGACACCCCGTCGACACTGTTTTAAAGCTGAAATTAAATGTGCCAGCCGCCCACAAAAAAAAGCAGTGTCTTTGGTTAGCGAAATTATTCAGGGCTAATTTTTGTAGGATGGTTAAACGGTTTAATAATCTTTTCTGTCACAAACGTACCGCCATTCCGTCACGTATCTTTAAGACGCAACAAACGCATATTGCAGCTACCGTAGGACACTTGTCTTAACTGTTTAAACCAACGGGGTACCCCAATCACCTCTTACTGCCAATCAAAATTTCCGTAAGTTCAGTTGTTTATTTACTGAAGATAAAATTAAATACAAGCTATTCAAAATGCGATTTCTGGACCCAAATCCACTGTAAAGATGATGAAAAACAGAAACACGTCATAAAATGAAACTCGACAGTTTTAAATTTAAGCTATCTTAAAGAAGAGCTGATAAAAGAGATTGTCATTTATTGAAGTTTTTATGAGCTCTGGGGCGCTAAAGTTTATTTTCAATTCATTTTCATTGAAAGAAAGCAAATTCATAAGCATCAGCCGCAGGGAAAATAACTGTTGTGAAATATTTAACAATGATGCAGTAGGCGTGCGTTGAATGTAAGCTGGTGAAAAGCTAAGGAGGCATGGCAAATCTCGACTCTTAGTATTGCTTTTTTTTTCTGCTTTTTCTTTTCGTCATTACAAACTTGCATTACTACATGAAATTATCTACTACGTTTCCATATCGATGTCGAAGCCTGCTGAATTTGTTAATATAGGGTCCCGGTAACCAATCAGCTTACTTATCGTACCAACTGAACGGACCATTCATTAAGGACCTGGTGATTGAAGCCATATCACATCTACCGTGCCTTTTTATGAACTAAATACCACCTGCTCTCTGATTGTTTGCCGGCTGTGATTCAGAAAAGTGCAGACGTACGACCAAAGTCATCTGTAGTTGCCGCAACCGTTTAACCGTGTCAATGGTACAGAGCATAAACGTCTGCGCATGTCTTACCATCGTTATTATACTCAGTATAATTAACCAAGTCATGCGCATACCATAATTGGAACTGCTGACCAACCAATACAACCAGTGGGGTGGGGAGGAGCTTGAACACTAGTGTTGTGGAGTTGACATCGGCACCGTCAAGTTGGTAAGTGTAGTATTTACGGTCGCTGCCTTTCAAGAACTCAGCAAGCGGAAGAACTGTTTTGTTGCTGCAAGTTATCATCGTCATTAAGTTGTGATTTTCGTAAGTTGGAAATGAGCATCCCCACTTTGTTGATGTTGTTGAAGTGTCGCATGTCACGGCGCCACTTGTATGGACAAGTTTAAATGTGTAGATTTGACCGGCTTCTTGGATACGAAAAATTCCGTGGTCGTCATCTTTTGTCCCAAAACAGACAGGATCGAGGTTGACCTTTTTCCAGTTATCTGTTAAAAAGTTTGTCAGGTTTCAAAGAAAGCCTTAGGTTTTCGTGTCTTAGAAACGGTAACGCAAAATAAATTGATGTATTTGAGGAAAGTAATTAAAGAAATAACTGTGGTTATGTTCAAACCACTCTACTCACTCACATTTGTTTGTTTTGGGTGAAAGATCAAGATATACCTGAGCAAAAGTGCCGTCCATCTCCAAGGTGTCCAGACTGACAGCTGCAGTCGAATGATCCAGCGGTGTTTGTACAATCGGCCGCAAAGTGACAGTCATGGCTTGCATCGTTACACTCATCGATATCTAAGTAGAAATGGAAAATGAGACTAATCAAGATGTAGGGAAATTATCAGAAGAGGTGGGGTTGTTTTTTTGGCGTTTCCCAGAATCTACTGAAAAGTGTAACATGCTGAGGTCGTGAATTCACAGGTTTGCCAGAAGTTCGGAATCGTTCTGTATATTTTAAATATGGTTAAAAAGCAATTTTACTGATTATGATGTGGAGGCAGCCTTTTCTGTTACGTTAACATGTAAACCCCTTTTTTAGCAGTAATTTTAAGGACAATTGACCCTGCGAATCACATCAGTTATTTCTGTCTTGCAAGAGCGGTGAAGAGGGTAAACAACAGCTTTGCACTTTTATATAAAATAAATGTTACCTTGGCAAATTTTACCATCGCCAGTAAATCCAGGCTTGCAAGAGCACTGATATGAACCCACGACATTAACACAGTCGCTGTCAGAGGAACAATCGTGTTTGCTCGATGTACACTCATCAGTATCTACACACGAGTTACAAGAGACGGAGAAGTAAGATGTATAAGCCCATAACATTAACACAACTGCCATCAGAGGAACACTTCACCTTGCCTTAGACACATTCGTCAATATCTATTCAAGATTAAAGGAAGATGAAAAAAACATATTCCTTATTTTGAAATAGATATTTTTCATCTAAAGTTCATCTCCATGGTATTAATCAATTATTTCTGTCAGTTATTCCAAAATTCCACTGAACTATTTGCTTTCAGCACGAAACTTATACTTTTATTCGTTTCATTTCTGTTCTTGCCCTTGCATCAAATATCCATAGTTGACAACATGAGGCAGTTTTCCCTTCATATCACCCATTCCTATTCCGATGTTCTCTTACTTTCTCGTTTTTCTTTAAGATCTATTATCTATGATTTATCACATCACGACAGAAATACTTTATATCACCTCTCGGTTATTGCTGCAGAAGAACATCTTATAACGACGTCTCCAGTTGTCACAACCCTGGAGTTTCAATCCATCTGACAACTTCTAGCTTTTAAGAGAGCACATACTGAACGAATCTAACTTGCCCCTTGCCTTATGGCGGAGATATCCTTTGATGCAGATATTAAGGCTGTATTGATTAAGCAGATGAGGATTCAAAACTTTCCTTGCTGAGAGGCTACTTTATTTGCAGCTTTATTGCGTAACTTTAACTATGAACCTGGGAGATGAAGACCTGCTATCGCGAGGAGTTTCCTTTCTCACCTATTTGGCAAAGCTCTCCTTCATATCCGTCAGAACAAATACAGCGGTAACCATGACTACCAAACCCCGCCTGACATGTAAGTTACTAACGCACGGATTGCTCTCACAGGAATTCTAAAATGCAAAAGATGAATCAAGTAATTAGATAGATAAAGCTTAGATGAGTAATTAACTAAACTGAATATTTAGAGGGATAAATAATAAAGTGAGTAAATAAATAAACGAGGCGGATCAACTTGAAACAGAGGTTTCTCGCTCGCGGAACGATCACCCTGGTAAAATTGTTATTGTTATTTACTTACAATGATTGCTCTGTATAAAGAGCCGTTCCTATATTCGAAGTAACTGGGAGAGACTTGCAAATGAGTTCTGTTGCTTAGCTGGCATGTGAATGTTCCATCTCCCAGCGGACCATAGTTATAGGACACACAGTTTGGTTCAAAGAAGCATTTCAACTCGCAGATATCCTTGTCCTTTGCTTGTTCTCTTCTTATGACGTGTTTTGTTAAGATCTTGTTTTTCGTTCCTGCTTTGAACTGAATCACTCGGCAATCATCTAAAGTTTTGGCAAGAAATGAAGAATTCAATGAGAAAATGAAATCAAACGGCACACAAGCTTAAAGGAAGCCGACAACCTAAGTTTTATCACAATATTGGTTTAAAGTTGTTCCATGAATGCCAGAGAAACTATATATATAACTCTTGATTTGCCGCTCGACGAAAAAAAAAAAACACGGATATTTGCTATGCTCTTTCATCCTCGAAAGAAAGGCAGGTGATAAGCCTTTCCTCTGTTTTCTTTAGTTGACTGACTAAGCTGAATAGCCTGAAACTTGAATTCAAGGTATCATATTCATCTTAACAGAAAAGTTGCTTTTTCGGAGAATCATTTTTTTCATTTACCAATGGCATTGAAGAACAAGATTGATGTTCACCATTGTGATTTTAATTAGGATCTGGTTTTCAAATGAGGGGGTAGGTTTCTAAGGAAACTGTAACGCTGCATCGGTGGGGGTATAACTCAATAACCGTGAGCGCTTCGCTCTGGAACGCTAGCTTTAGAAATTCTTCACGATAGCAAGTCTATATTATTACCCCTTTAGCTTTCAACGTCTTCATCAGTGTCTTTTTCCGTTCCATTTATTATATATAATAATCGGACATCAGCAACTCAAAAATTGTGGACAAATCATATATAGACCAATGTCGCCTTGAATCAGCAATAATTTTACCAACAGATCTTTTCTGTTACGCCCAACTAAGATCACGGCATTGTAAACAGGGTAGTTTTGCAATAACGTGCTATCTTGCAATATCCCATTTCTGCCATATTTACTTTAAGAATTCGAAATTTCACATCATTACCATGAATAGATTTAAAGTTAACTTAATGAGTTTTCTCTTTTCACACACTTACTTTCTTTTGTACCATAACACAAGGATATGAATCTGATCACGAATACAACAGTGATAACAGATTAAAGTGTCAGCGATGTCAGCTTTTGGCAGGAGTCACTTACCTCCATGCACCAGTACACCAAAACGAAAAATCCATAGAAAAGTTAGGACCTTACTCATTGAAGGATCACTAACGGCAGGTGAGAGCAGTACCATATTGTCCGTAGTGAGAACACCCTTCAGCTAGCTCTAGCGAGCTAAATGAAACGCTGGTCTCTCTTGTAAATGCAACGAGACCTAATATTTCAACACTCAAAACAATACAGCGAATTGCAGAATCATAAAAGAGGAAAGTAATTATTAATGTAAGCGGTAGACGTGAGATCAGCACCCTTCGAAGTTATAGAATTTTATTTTTTAACATTTACGAATACGTCACTTGAACATTCACATGGCCTAACTTAATTTGAAAACAAAACATTGAGTCTTAAGAATTACAGAAAAACTGTAAGAGAAAAAAATAACTTCAATGCGTGATGCTGGCCTTTGTAAAATAACTAATTAATCGTTTGCCGAAGATTGCCTAACGCAAGAGGTTTTTCAGTGTTACCAATTAAATGTTTGCATTAAATGAAATTGAAAATCTGTCGAGTGCGTTCAACTGCAAATCAATTTATTGAAGGATCATTATAATAAAAGGTTGAACCGCTTCAAAAAGCTCCAAGACAAAGACGTGCGAGGAGGCATGTAACTTTATTTTAATTAAATAGGAATTGTTCAACGATTCGATGAAAGCTTAAGGAAATACTTGAAACACAGAACATGCTGAATAGCAGTAGATTTAATTTTGTGGAAATGAAAATTGAAAAAACCATCAACAATTTTTTAAGCTAAAATATTTCAAGTGATAAACCCAAACTTGAACACCTTTGCCTCTAAATAACCAAATTCAAATAAGAAGGAGGGTAAAATTGAATATAATTAAAGTGAATCCACTTGATGTCAATCACATAGAAAATTATCAATGTAGATTGGGTTGGTGATACACTTACAAGGCTCAAGTTTGCACCTGACGTTTGTTTACCTCAAGAGTGACCATTTTTTTCTCATCTTAACTCAAATATATCGCCTTGGTGTCATGAAAGAGACTGATGTCCTGCCTCGTAAAAAGGAAAAAAAAAAGATGAAATACCACAATGCCAAAGGAAACAAAATTTTATTGACAATATATCACAAGGACACCCTGTCGACATTGCTTTAAAGCTGAAAATTTTATGTGCCAGCCGCCCACAAAAAAAAGCAGAGTCTTTGGTTACCGAAATTATTCGGGACTAATTTTGTAGGATGGTTAAACGGTTTAATAATCATTTCTATCACGAACGTACCGCCATCCCGTCATGTATCTTCAAGACGCTACAAACACATATAACAACTACCGTAGGACACTTTTCTTAACTGTTTAAACCAACGGGGTACCCCAATCACCTCTTACTGCCAATCAAAATTTCCATAAGTTCAGTTGTTTGTTTACTAAAGATAAACTTAAATACAAGCTATTCAAAGTGCGATTTCTAGACTCAAATTCACTCTAAAGATAATGAAAAACAGAAACACGGCATAAAATGAAACTCAACAGTTTTAAATTTGAGCTATCTTAAAGAAAAGCTGATGGAAGAGATTGTCATTTATTGAAGTTTTGAAGAGCTCCGGGAGCTAAAGTTCATTTTCAAATCATTATCATTAAAGAAATGCAAATTCATAAGCTTTTAGCCGCAGGGAAAAATAAGTACCACCCGCTCTCCGATTGTTTTCTGGTTGTGATTCAGCAAAGTACTTCGCCTGAAGTCATCTGTAGTTGTCGCAACTGTTCAACATGGTGAACGGTACAGGGCATAAACGTCTACGCATGTCTTACCATCGTTATTATTCTCTGTATAATTAACCAAGTCATGCGCATACCATAATTGGAACTGCTGACCAACCAATACAACCAGTGGGGTGGGAGGAACTTGAACACTAGAGTTGCGGAGTTGACATCAGCACCGTCAAGTTGGTAAGTGTAGTATTTACCGCCGCTGCCTTTCAAGAACTCAGCAAGCGGAAGAACTGTTTTGTTGCTGTAAGTTATCACCGTCATTAAGTTGTGATTTTTGTAAGTTGACAATGAGCATCCCCACTTTGTTGATGTTGTTGAAGTGTCGCATGTCACGGAGCCACTTGTATGGACAAGTTTAAAAGTGTAGATTTGACCGGCTTCTTGGATACGAAAAGTTCCGTGGTCGTCATCTTTTGTCCCAAAACAGACAGGATCGATGTTGACCTTTTTCCAGTTATCTGTAGGAGAGTTTTTATTGAGAAAATTAGAACAAAGTAACGGAGGTATTCATAATTTCTACTGTAAAGACAGTCCGTAGTTTTGAAGAGCACGAAAACTCAAGGTACTTAAAAAAGAACGTAACTCCTTGTCTGTTAGCACTCGCACATTTTCGGCGTATAGGTCTGCGAGAAGACTGCGTAGAGCTAGATGGATCTCTTTGAAAATGATTCCAGAAAACAACAATTCTGTGTTAGTTAAGGTATGCTATAGTAAGTTTTTGAAGGAAAACGTTTCAGTGGTCGCTTTAAAGAATTACATCGTAAAGCAAAATCAGTTTTCTAGAATTTGCTTAGATCTATGTTTATCTAACTCATCATCTCATTGTCTCCTCACCTTCTTGATTTTGAACACCTTGATATCTATAAGGACAAACACAACGATATCCATGGATACCAAACCCCGCTTGACATACGTAATGACTTGGGCACGGGCTGCTCTCACAAGGGTTCTGAAGAGAAAGTTTTTGTCGATTAATATCGAATTAAAACTCGTAACCATCTGTTGTGGATGTAGTCTGGGTATTTACTCACAATCATTGCTCTGTAGAAGAATTCTTTTCTATCCTTTTGGTAACTGGGAGAGACCTGGAAGTGAGTTCTGTTGTTCAGCTCGCATTTGAAAGCTCCATCACCCAATAAACCGTAGTTGAAGGACACGCAATTTGGTTCTAGGAAGCATTTTATTTCACAAACGTCTTCGCTGAGTACTAGTTCACTTCTTATGACGTGTTTGATAAGAGCTTTATTTGCTTCCCTCTCTTTGAACTCAACCGTTCTACAGTCATCTAGAAAAAGAAACATATATGAATAAACTGAACAAGAAGGGCTGTATGTCATTTTTTTTTTTATCGTATATAAAACTTAGAGTGCAGCTTCCCACGACCATGCCCACCCGGTGATTTTGGCTGATTAGAAAACAACTTCAAGTGCGGCTTAAACAAGCTAAAAAGCACACAGAAGACAAATAATAAAACAATATTTACTGAGTGGGCTTATGCAAAGTCAACTGCAGAAGAGTCGGAAAACTTTGAATCCAATGAGTTTCGCGTTGATTGACCGCAGCTGGATTTTTCCAAAATATTTCTCTTCTTCTTATTCAAAAAAGGAAAAAAAATAGACAGCGGTATTGTCTATCTTTCTTGATTTTTCTGGAAAAAAATCACCAAAACAAGATATCCTGTGCAAAATGTGACTTGATGAAAAGACGGAATCAAAGACAAATCCTTGTAAACTATGGTGTTCCTTGATATAAATTTACATACTGTCAGAAGCTACATCTAATGTTGAGAGGATATATTTTCCTTTTGCTTTATGGCTTTTTTTCTTCCACCTACATATTTCGTGCATTCGTGGTTTTTACAGTGTTGCGTTGACGCAATCTGAGTTCCGAACTAACCTAAAAAATTTCCTTTTTCGTTGTCAGTTTCTCAAATTTTAATCGAAGGAAGACCCGGTCCGTTAATAAGATCTTGTATCAATGGTTAAATTAAGGATTAGGAATTACATTTGACTACTTTTCTATAAGGCTTACCACCGTTTACACATTCAATCCACCAAGGGACGGACATGAAGACAACAATCGTTGTATAAAAGGAGGGTAACGAGATTTTTGGAAGATGGTGTAGTCATCTCTGCTCGGTTAAAACGGCTTGCAGTCGCAGTTATAGCTAAAAATCCCGCATTAAGCAAACATGAATTAATATTGATGGCTTACGGCTATCGACTTGACAGAAAATTGCCTAATCATCAGGCAGATGTTCAGGAAACAATTGATTACTATCAAAACAGTTGCAAGAGGTTTTTTGAAAGGTCACTAGGCCAAATTAAAACGAAATCCATCTCGTTAATTATGAGAATTATAAACAAACATTACAATGCAAAATAAGGCACTCGCACTTATCATTGTTATTTTTTTTGGAGGTTTTCTCAGGATTTTTCAGTGTCAAAACTTAGGATTACTTACCGAAGCTAGTCAAGTGATTTGTACCTCGTTAAAAGCCTATAGCCTGGCACCCCTATTATTTTCAGTTGGGTAGAAAACACATTTTGACATGAAAAGAATCACCAGTGTACCGTTGGGGAAAAATGTTGTCTTTGTTAGTAGTCATTGTTCTTCGAAGGAGTAGAACTATTCATACTGGTCTGTGAAAAATAAATTTCAAACTGTTCAGGTAGCGCTCACACAATTGTAGTTTATAGCTTTAAATGATTTCCGCGCTCGGAAAACGACTGAAAAGGTGACAGAATGTTTTTTTGAGAGAGAAGCATTGCGCAATCTGATGCTTTCGAGTTATAGCTATTACATGCTGTTATCATGTACTACGTGTTTAAAATTTTTAAAATTTGAAGCAGCTTGGTTTTTTTTTATACAATAACAAAATGTTAGCCTTTGTCGGAACTTCTAGGCTGTACGACCGACCTTGAGTAGTTAATTATAAAAATAAAACAAAAAATCAAAACACCAACGGTAGAATGAATTAAAATTAAAAAAGAAAGACGCACGTACACGCAAAACACTTCTTAGAACTCTTGAGAAGCTTCGTGTTTTGAATTATTTGGGTAAGCAACTTCGAATTCTTCTCCAAAATCAACCGAGTCACGAGGCTTCACTGAGAAGTTTGGAAAACTTTAAAAATAAGGGCTTATTGCGATCATAAAATTAGGCGCATATTGAGTAAAACATAAAACTTTCGTAACCAAGCTCACAGACTGACATCGTCAATCAAAGAATATCTTTATCTAGAGATGAAACATGGTTGTGAACTTGTAATTATTGGTCTTGAAGCAATGCAAGGTTGCTCTTATCTCAAAAACCAAGCTTCCAGAAACCGTACAACCCCACCGAATAGTAAACACACATATAGTCTACAAAAACAGTACAAAATAGCATCCTGCGTTTTTCGAATTACCGTTTGCAAAATTCGTCAAATTTAGACCGGCGCTGCCTTGTAAAACTAAATTTCACTCAGTATTGCACGTGCTAAATGTTCTCCAGGAATCCTAAAATCACAAAAATTCTAAATAAAGCGTTGGGAATACCCTCAATCAACAAATGAATAGTTCAAGCTTTACTGAAGCGCTCATAATTATAATTGTAACAGCATAAACATTAACCGAGTTTAAATGCTTGATGGTATAGTTTACTCATATTTGTGCAGGATTTTTCATCTAAATAAATCTCAAATAAGACGTTGATAACGAGTTCAATCATTCACTGTACGTCTCTTTACAGCATTAAAATTATCGAGCTTAAATGCTTGATGGTACGGTTTACTCGTATTTATGCAGGGTTTTTATCTATATGAATTTCAAATAAGACGTTGATCCAGTCATTAATTATACATATCATAGCGGCATGAACGTTAACAGAGCTTAATTGCCTAAAGGTATAGGTTAATCATGTTTGTGCAGGATTATTTTTATCTATACAAATTTTAAATAACATGTTCATGACGAGTTCTATCATAAATTAATTATTCGTATCATAAGCTTAAAACTTTGACGCTCGACATCTCTTAATGTGGGTCTAGCGCAAATGGCGTGTGCGTTTGTAAGTAATTTGAACGTTCCAGAAGGAAAACAATTTTTCGTGATTTACAATCAAGCTTCGCACCACGAGATACTGAGAGTAAAGAGACCTATGAAGAACAAACCAAGTCACATGTTTTCTCGTCGGTCGCCTCGTTTTCACAGTTGCCTCGCTTTCATGCTTGTAGAGGAATATCGCAGGCCGTCAAGCAATGCAGGCTTACACACTTTCGACATTGACGATAGATAGTTTGATAGGAAACCGAAACCTAGACTCGGCCTACCTGTGTAGCCTGAGTAATGATCTTTGTTTACAGGGTTTTCTCCCTCTTACATCTGCTAGCAAACCACCAAGTTTTCTGCCTCGGAATAATACCTCAAAACGCATTTTATGCGACTGCAAGTTTTTTTGACTAATTGAAAGTAACGATATGCGGTAATGAATTCCACAAGTTTGCTTTTGTCGGAGAAGCACAGGATTATTTTCGTCCGCTTCTGATTGACAGCTGCAAATGTTTACATCACGGCTCTTGTTTGACAACAGATCATGAACAATCGAAGCGATTCACAGTTTTGGGTTTGTGCCTGAGCTGGATAAATTTTTGCTCGCTTGGAAGGTGATATTTAAAGCAAAGATGCTTAGTACAAACTGTAACAAAGCCTTGCTATCGTTTTAGGCGCGGTTACTACTCCAATAGTACATCTTGGTGAGTGAGTGACTAATGGGCATATCGAAGTCCCAATAAAAGCGCGTGTGCAGAATCAGTAAAACAACCATGGTATTGAGGATAGAACGCGCGTCCGTAGTAAGTAACTGAGGCAAGATAAGTTTATTTTGTATTCTGGAAAGAACAATTGTCCGACAGTAAACCGGGGCGGAAGTTAATATCAGAATCAGGCGAGGGTCTTTTTCAACTATCGGTCGAAGCTAAAACTCTAGTCCGCGCAAACTTATCTCACGTTTTAAAACGTGATCGGTAAGTCCCGCTGCTGTGCTACTGGTTGTGACTCAAATAGGCCGTGTCAGTCCTGATTAATCAGTTTTTATTCGTCAATAAAGCTAAGAGGCTCTTATTCAGTACGCTGGTTGTATTCATGTGGTGTATGATTCGTTTTCCGGGTGCCAGTAGTTGTTGATATCTGTTCAAGGGTCTCCGCAAAGTAAGTAAACCAGCTTTTCAGAGTCAGTCGTTAAAAGTGCGGTATGTCGTTGATTATGCATCAAGCGATGACAATTTTACAAGCATGATCGCTGACGTCATTATTTGTAAGGACCGGTCTGTCTTCAGTTAATATGTTGTTAAGGTTCTTAGCCTCTCCAAAGTTGAAGGCTCCGCGGTCCAAGAACTTACTGCCTCGACCAGCCTTGGAACTAAATAGACTTATTACGTCAATTAGTCTGAATCAGTCTTTGCTTGAGAATACGATGAGCGCGAGGATTAATTTGTTCCTTTCGTGTTCAAGTCAAAACTCTTCATCTCAACGTGTTCGACTTAGGACCCTTTAAAGAGTGTGAATGTTTTCCACTGTGTGCCCATCGCCGAAGCTGAAAAAGGATTTAACTTCCCATAACTTAAGGGGATCATCCTATAAAATAGCTTCATGATTTTGTTCATGTAGATTTACGACGTGATGAAAGCCTACTCGACTGTTGAGAGGTGGAAATGAAAGAAGACGTGTACGAACAACTCGCTGCTGGGTACGTGAAACGATTTTAAAGTAAGCTTTTCATAATGAAATCCCAGAAAATTTTTTTTTATCTTAACCGGCAAACAATTAGTGAGAAAGAGACAAATGACTGAAAATGTCATCACCACATAGTCTAAACTTATTGACAAGGAAATGAGACAAAGCTAATTGAGTGTTATTTCTATGTCAGATCTTGGTAGCTAGAAAGTTAAACACATATTTGCATAATTCACTCAGACAACCGTTCAAAATCAGTAAGTAAAAATCAAAACAAAACAAAAACGCTTATGTACGTAACAAGGGCAAAATGACACGAAGACACAAAAAAGGTACGTATTTATGACAACCATTAAAAAGAGGAAAATTAAAACATATAGAACGTTGACCAAACTGGGTATCAAAGTGTCAGTTAAACTGATCAACAATTTTTTTGTTGTCTTTCCTGCGATTTTGCCAAAAATATTGTGAAATTAACGTCTACAACTTATACGTAAAGAAGGCAACAAAGAAAAACTCCAGTTGGTTTCTTTAAGTTCGTCTGCACTTGGTCAGTAACATGCATTTTCCATCTTGTCTTTAAACCTAAATCGCTTCAGGGACTCTAGCGCTCTTCATATGAG